TTTTCTCTTTTCTTTGTATGGAAATGTTCCGTGTTGGATGTCTTTGAGCGGTCGGTTGGGCCTTATTGTTTGGTGACTATTACTGCACACATGCAGAAGTTAAAGATATTAAAAAGAATTAAAAAGCTTAATTAAAAGGTACTTAAAATCCGCTAATAATGTTGATGGGATTCTAATAAAATAAAAGAACCACCATTTCGAAACATACATCCATTTACAAAGTAAAGTGGCTCCTCTTCCTTCATTTACTAAAGTCACTGTGGTTGCCTCTCACTGACGGTCGGCCGTGACCTCTTGAAGGCATTTGAGATAAAAAGTAGAAAAATAACTCTAGTCTGTTATCTGGAGGACTCACATTTTATATTAGTGTGCATACTGTAGAACGGATGCCAGTGGTATCGGACAGTGCAAAGAATCAGTCATGCTGTGAACCACTTTGAGCCACAGAAGGCCAGTCAATCTCCCTTTGTACACTTCACCTCGGCCAGTAAAGTTCCTCCTTTGCTTACTTTTGCCTTTCCAAACTGACTTTATGGCAGCCAATCAATAGCTACAAAGGCTGTTCATCTCCGTTGAGCCTTTAAACTCATCACACGAAAGGTGTTTCCTTTAATGCCACCGTTCGCACACGCTGCCTTTGGCCGTGTTTAACGACACTGTGGACTTTCTCCAAAACTGCATTTACAAGAATGCGCTATCCGTCACACAGATACACGAGCACTTAGGCCGTGTAACGTATAGGCCCATTCTAATCCAAACACCCTTTCATTGCCTCAATCAGTGCTCATATCGAGTGCCAATCCATTCTTCCAAACATTGGGGCGAAGATGATCTGAAGGCGAACGGCCTCGCTTGATTTATTACTGTGGGAGTGATCAATCTGACACACACACACACAGAAAAATACAGACACGCAATGACCGCAATCCTGAATGTAGCTGCACACGTCAAAGGAGGCAGTTGGTCAATTGTTGGTAATCCAGAGATCTATATTTTCCGCAAAGCAGCAACAATCTGGCTCGCGTTAGCCGGTCCAGGGGTAAAAAGAGCCCTGATTTGCAGGAGGACATACCTTAAAATGGTTGCCTGCATCCACATGTTGCCTGGAAGCCTGTCAAACAAAAGCCCCTTCTGTTGTCTTTTGAAATGCGGCCTCGTTTTGAATTGACCGTGCCGTGTAAGGGAAGAGCATCCAGATGTCAAAAGACTCAAGCCGGAGCCGCCCGCCATCAGCTGTGGGCATTGAGTTATTATTACACAGCTTTGGAAATTGCTCCGTTATTAAAGCTGCAGGCTTATTCTGGGCTTCGATAGAACTCCATGTCTTTGGCACAACAGAGCAGAGTGTGCGTGAGAGTGAGGGACTGCATGTTACATCAAAAGAACAATGGGGGCTGCTTCGGTAAATTCAAAGGCCACTAAAGAGAATGTAAACGTGAACAAGAGGGGAAAAAAAAGAAGTTTCCGTTCATATGTTTGAAGACGGTAACGTTGTCTCCCTGTGATCCATTGATGACCCCGTTGCATCCGCGGTCTGGACCCCCTGTCTCCGGCTTTCATCTCCAGTGTCACGTTACATGCCCGTCTCAGCGGGGAGCCCGCTGGGCTTCCCAACAGCATCGGAATTGACTTTAATTGCTGCGGTTTTGCGGGTTAATGGGTCGTGCCTTCAGCCGAGCTCTGCGCTCACCAACAAAGATATCAGGAAGTGTTTCAAACTCATAAAGGTGCCGTCCAGAGAACTGGACTGGACTAAACTGGGCAAATAATCCACCGGCAATACTTTCCGCTTTAAGTGTGTCACGCGTGTAACTTTGCTGTTGTTTACGTTCCTTTTGACGCAAATTCAAAAATGCGATACAGGAATGTACTACTGTTTGGGTTTTGTTTGTCACAGACTACTGTAATGGACATTTGTTGTAGAGCTATGAGCACATCGTTTTTTGCAGAACATTTTGTTCCCCGTGTTTTAAAAACCTATATTTTTTCTAACCATGTGTCCACTATCTGCTTCTGATCTGCAGAGTGGCCTGTGTTTGGCCAATGCCTTAGCAAGCACCCTGGAATGGTTTATAATCCCAAACAAATGTGGAGATATCATACCAGCGTGACATCCAGGGTCGCCAGCATGAACATGTACAATAACAACATGACAGGGTGTTGGCAGTAATGCAGTACAGGAATCGCTGCTATTTGACAGAAATGTTCGATACGCATTCGCTCAGTGCCATTTCCAACGAAACCACTCGAGCCTTATTTAGCAGCTTGTGGGAGAGCGAACTGGGGCAAATTCACATATTTTCAAAGTGCGTAATATTATGCACTTTTGAGGGCATAATAGTCTATTTCTGAGTCAACCCAGTTAATGTTGGTCTGACCACAAAGTTGGACCATTTCCCTGCTGCATAATCTTTCCCTGCTTTTGGCCGAAAGCAGCGTCTGCACCTCTCGGCCATCTTGAACCTCTGTGTCCCACTCACCTATCCTCACAATTTTTTTTCCAGCGGCAGACACGGCTAGATAGGTTTAAACCGAACGCCTGTCACGGCACAAGCTCCCGGGCCTTTCACTGCGAGCAGGTCCAATGTGAGATTTCACCTCTGCCCCTCTGCCCCCCCCCCCCCGACCCCCTCCATCCCCATCCCCCATAAGTTATCTCCCCTTTGTGCCGGGTGGCACTGAGGAATCATGTTGCCTGTTTGAAATATTCATACAGCGCCAATGTTGATGAAAGGACACACTCGTCTAGCTCCCACCTTTACTGCCGAGGGGCCGAAACAGATCCAGCTCGTGGATGCTGGGAAAGTGTGTCAGGATCTGAGTGTCAGATATCCCAAAGAGAGAGAACTTGAGTGAACGCATACCTTTGGATGCATACATGCCCATGTAAACATAAAAATGCATGCACACTCACTCACATATTCATGCTTTTCTTTGCTGGAAATGATGGATGATGTGCGTGGAATTCCCCTACACTTTACCTCCCCTACATCACTTCTTGTGGGAATAGGTGAAGGTCGTCTTACATTTTAGCTGTCTCATGGGAAACGTAAAAAAGAAGAGGCCCAACATGTGGCGCGCATACTGAATGAGCCCGGAAGTTTTCTGTCCTAATAATACGGCTAAACAAATGCCAAGTGAAACAAAGCGCTGAGGTCCTCCTCTTGATTCTAAAGACAACTAAGCGACACTGATGTGATGCTCAGTGCCAGAAGTTATATCTTGTGAATAAGGGAGAGGTTACTAGTTCTTTCGAATTTCTTTAAGGGTTCATTTTGGCACACTTTGACTTTTCTGTAAACCGCAACAGGATGCAAATGCCAGGCTTTGGTGTTTTTTTTTTATGGTTTCAACTGAAGCAGATCAACGCTCTCAAAAACGAGAAATTACGTACAAGTGAAGACGAGACAATACACGACTGTTGGCTAAGTTACCGAGCAAGACGTTTATCTACTATACATCCGTCACCATGCCCACATCCATCAGTCACCACAAAAATATGTGTAAGCGGACACTTTCTCCATTGCACAGCTTCAACGACCATTTGATAATACCTGTGCATTCTTGTGCGTGTAGTGAGTGTCCTCACAGACCCTCAGCAGCTTTGGGAGGTGCTCGATATGCTCTTTGTGCACTGTTGACTTTGAAAAGCGCCACTTCAGTGGAGCAAGCCTAGCCTGTCATTAGTGAGCATGGCATGGGCACGCTGTTTAACCATTAGCAAGGAGTGGAGCTGCAGCACGAGGCCCTGCCAAGAACACCGCTGCCTTGCCACGAGGACAGAGAGGAGCAGAGAGGAGCAGAGAGGCCGCTTTCTGGGCCTTCTCTATGTTGCAGAGATGTGCAACATGTGAGTGTGCAACACATTTTACTCTCATTTCGCCTTCATAGGGGAATTTTGCTGCTTGCCCCGTGATAATCGGTCAAACAGTAATTCCTTTTTTCCCGTAACCGTTCCCTCTCTCCCCTTCCTCCCCATTTTCGAACCACACACTCCACAATGATTGACAGCCCGTTGGAACTCGGCCTCCTATAGCAGTCGTTCTCTACATGTTTCACGAGGTTGTGGGCGACATGGCGAACACAGACGAACGCACTCGTGACGCAGGCTGGCCGGGGGAACTGTTGAGTCGATGTCTTTGGATTACAGAGTACGGCCGATGGCGCGCTGCAGCAGCTAAACCACCTCATTAGGTCGTGGTGACTGCAGTTAGCCGGCATTTCCCCCCTCGACACGTCCAGAGAGGCCGCATCAGACATGGTGATTAACTGCAGAGTAAACACGTCCATCTCCGAGGTCTAGGGTCTCTTTGCCGTTCAGCGCAGATGGCACCAGGGTTTAAGTAACAATCAAGAACTAGAGCCCCCCCCCCCGTACGTAATAAACCCTGCATCCCAATACTCATAACATTTGGTCAACACTACGCGGCAAAACTCAAAACTAAAAAGTTTGAGTTCACGCAGTTTGGTAGGCCGATGTTGGTGTTGCTTCAAGTTTTTTAAGCTGCTGCCTCCGAATAGCAAACTCTTCCTTTGTTGAAGCGGGGAGGAATGTTGTTTTGACCTGTCTCAAAAATTACCCTGGAGCGCGAATAAATAACAGGGAAGCAGCTATGTAAACTTTTCAGGAGACATTTTTCTCCCAAAAGTAGAGTAAATACTTTTGAAACACAGTACTGCATGAACGTAGAGTTTACGTGTCTTCCTGTCGTCTGTGATCGACTCGGCCGACTGAGCTCACTGCCACAGCAGAAAAGCGTGCAAGGCCTGGATTAATTATTGCAATATCTGCAGCAAGGCAGGGCTAATTTGCTGCACACTTCATTTGGTTTTACTACCCCTTTGTCTCGTGGGGTGTCGTAACAGAGTTTACCCTTGTCTGGGGAGATGTTTTACCCATTTACTGAAACGTCTATAGTCAGTTTTTGGACTCGGGACCAAACTTCACTGATACGGGCTGGAGAAGACAATAAAAAAAGAAAGAAAAAGGCTGAGAGCACTTTTTTCACATTACATGTTTACTTTACAACAAAGCTTGTTTCTATTTGTAGAATATATTGTGCTTCTGTCTAAAACCATGCATTGCACTATTTTTGTTCAGTACACTTTCTACGGCACTACCTCTTCAAGAGTATAGTACAGGTAGTCTTGCAAACATATAGTTGTGCTGTCAAGGTCATGTTGAGGTCATGGATGCAGCAAAGAGAGGAGACAGAGGTGTCGGGGAAGAGCTCCAAGCTGCAGGCTTGCGGCCTGCGTCTGGAGGTGCAACCGAGCTTTGCACAGACAGCTGTAGACACCATGTCTGGACGAACAGCTGGCCAGGATGTCTGGGAGAAAAGGAGGGGGAGAAAGAGATACCAAGACTAAAAAAAAAAGAGAAAAGATAGATGGACATAAAAAAAGACAAATGGGACAGTAAAGGGAAGGAAGTGGAGCTAGACAGAAGTGACAAAAAGGAATAGACGAGGTCCGATACATCCAGAAGCTCCAGAGAGGGGCCTCTTTGTGGGAAAAGAGGCGTGGAGAGCCATAAATCTGGCTGGAACTGGCTGGCTGCTTTCACGCTGGGTTTGTTCAGGTGGCCTTCTCCATCAGCCTCCTCCTGCCGCTGCCGTTGCCTCCTGCTCAGAGGGATGAAAAAGCACCGCCCAAAGAGAAATGTGTCGGAGGGGAGGAAAGAAGCCCTTCAGGGTTTTACAGCTTCCTTTTCTGTGCACGCACGCTCACAGAGCGAACGACGCGGGGTAACACGCGCGAGTTTGGAAGACAAAGTTCCCATTTCGCACGGACAACGAGGACAATAAAAACATTAAGAGCATACGATAAACCATTCAAATCAAATCCCCCATCGAGGTAATGAAGCCCAGATAAAGAAGCATTGATGAGTCAACAGTTTATTTCCCTCTCTCCACCATGCCCACAATGCAAATTACAGGGACTTTTGTGGTATTTTTTGGGCACTTTGGCTTATTTGACAGTAAAAACAGGAATGTTTCAAATGAAACATAGCTTCTTTCAGATATTTGTCAGCATAAAACAAAACTGCAGAATAGAAATTGAAATTGAATGTTCTCTATATACTTTTGTCTCAAACCCCAATTTAAGCAGCAACTGATTTTAGATTACTGTCATTCTAGAAGTGTTTCTAAATGTCTGCAGGAGAAAACGTGTATCTTTCGTAGTCACGGATGAAATGTGTGTGCTTTCCTCGACTATTATTAAAAGTTATTGCACCTCCACCGGCCGGCGTTGGCATTCAATCATGTAACCTTTTAGCTCGAAGCGGGATTCTCATGAAGCCAGGCTGCCCCTGCAGTGCGGAGCCTCACGGCTGAGGGCCACAGACGGTGGCCCAGTGGGCGGAGTGACAGTGGGAGACGATACAGAGAACAAGCAGCGGGAGAGGAAAGTGGAGAAAACACATTGCCGGGTTGCAACTACTCTTTCGGGTAATTAGTTGGCACAAAATCATGTGCAAACAAGCACGCGCACAATTTCTTTAGAACAAACCAGGACGCTCAAGATTCACATCCAGTATGCATCGAGTGTGGGGACGACCAGTATATTTCACACACACATCAATCCAGACACACAAAAAAAGAACATGAAACGCACACTAAAACATAATGCAAGCAGAGCGCCGCATACTTTTCTACTTTGTCTCACGTGCTGGTGAGAAAGCGAGCGGCCTTTTGTAGACGGGGCCCATTTTTCTCTTTCCTGTGGTCGGAGTGTGTGACTGGGGATTTATTTTCGCAGATCTCTGGGGGGGGGGGGGGGGTCACTGTTTTGCTGAATTTGAAACATCTGAAGTATCCGAGGCCCCCCCATCCCTGTTCCACATTAGAGAAATGCTCCATTCATTTGGACCTGTCAGAGTGCATAATGGTTCTCAGATCGCGTCTGCTTACTACTTGTCAAACTGGGTCCCACAAACACTCTGGTCCTTGATGTCATTATGTAATTTACCTCCCCCCTCTCTCCCTCTCCTGCACTCACTCACCGTAAAGGTAAGATCTTCATTGACAAAGATTGATTCTCTAACAGATTGGACCGATGTCCTGGCCGGAGATACGGGTTTGCCTGCGGGAGAAGTTTCTCGTGTCTTCTCTGTTGGAGCCGGCAGATGAATAGCATGCGGTTATTGCTTTTGGCCTGGCTGTTGGACACATGGCTGTCTGGGTTTCTTTTGCCCCCAACAGGAAATATTTTTACTGTAATGGCTACTGAAAGATCTGGTTGAAGCTGAAAAATGAGGATTTCCAGAAGTTTCTGTCCATGCATGACAATGAACAGTGGCTTTTTTTCTGGAGTTCAAAGTGAAACGTAACCCCGGCGACTTTCCAACACAACAGCGATCCCAAGAACTCCTGACCCAAGGAAAGTAGAGCATTGACAGTTGGTGATAATTTGCCATCTACAGTGACACTGCTGCGTTGACTCATATTCATTAACTGTTGATGGCTTGTTTTGTCTGTAAAGGTCTTAATCTCTGAGGCACTGCCTTTGAGCTCACATTACATTTAGAGAAGTAAAATGGCTGTTTTGTGAGTTGAAAACCCAATTTGAAACAGACCTGCTCATTTTGAATCCGGTCCACTTAAGGTAATTGAATTTGACTCGAGCTTTTTTGTGCTCTAGTTTTGGCTTGCTAGCTGCTACATCACTCACTTTGCTTTCAAACTAAGGAGAAACCAAGTCTCCATCCGCTTGATTCTTCACTATACCAATAATATCTGTTTCAAAGGCATGTGGAAAATCACAAAGGATGGATACACACACTCATGCACACAAGCACAAACACATTTGTCTCTGAAAAGACCAATAAACATTGAGGCCAGCTGCCCTTGAGAGAAGTGTACCATTTTTGAGCAGGCTAGGGGCCGGATATTTTCAGCCTCACGCACACTTCCAGTCCTCTGGCCACTATAGTTTTTGTGTATTTATGTGACCTCAAAAAGATGAGTCAGACCATTTCCACATCGCTTACCTTTTAATTTGCGAAAGAGGATAATTCCTCTCTTTTAGCCAGGATGGTGGGGCCCCGGGGCCATTTTGACTGCTAGATTAATGGGCACAAAACTACACACATTCATGTTTCAAGACGATGAATCACAATAGCTGGTGATCACCGGATTGGAGGCTGACATGCCGATTATTTGCTGCAGTAAAATTGACCCAGACATTTACCATCACCCAACATGATGAGTTATGATAACTGTGGTGAAACAACGACATTGCATGATAAGTATTTGCGTGTTAACATTGTCATCGTATGGATATTTCATGGGTGTATTATTAGAAATGGATACTGGCCTGTGTGGGATGTACATAATAACTTTTGTATGGTGACTTTGTGTCTTTTGTTTGGTTTGTGGGGCCCTCTCAAGTGAATTTGATCTTACAGTACCTCGGTTTGCCAAGTGGGGATCAAGGCTGAGTGAAAGAAATTACTATTAACCCTTGAATGAAATGCTCCAACATGCAAAGTCAATGTTGAAAAAAAGAATAATACAGAAGAGTTTGCATTTGTTCCAGTACTTTTCATACAGACCAAGTGATCTTTGTAAAACCCTTGCGTTGAAAACAAGCCCATCGTTTACTCCGAACAAGTGGTGACAGAGTCCATTATGTTAAGTTAACAGGGGTTTTGCTTCACTTGAAGTGGGGTAATTAACAGCACACTAAGTGCATTGGCCCTTTTTATTGAGCCATGAATAAGTGGAAACCCCTTTTACAGGAGTCAATGGTTCATACTCGTGCGTTTTGGGGGGTTGGCCAGACAACACAAGGCCACTGACAATGATGAATGTAGACTTTGCACGCAGAGCGCTTCTTCAGCCGATAATACGCTCACCTCCATCGTCTCCACAGAAAGGCACTCTGTTCAACGACCTTTAAGTCCAATCCTTTAGTTGGAGGTTGACCAGTAGGGAAGGTTGAGTGAAAAGAGCTGCTACGATGATGTGTGCAGGTGTGCACGTGACCTTTTCTGCCTAACTTAAGTCCTTTCCCCTTTAGCCAGAATGTGTCAACACTTGAGCTGTGTGAGTGAGTCACTTAATTGCCCACAAAACTGCACAGAACTCGGTCACTTGTTTCTTGTGCCGACGTGTGGTTAGTGTGTCTCTGTGTTCGTGTTCAAGTGCACCATGTGTTTGGATTTATGTTTTAAATTCACAGCTGCTGAAGGTGCCTCACTTGACATGCAGCTTTTTCACACACGGCGCCGCTTGTTTTTCTCATTAACACAACATCACGGCACACGAAAGTCCCCCTTGTCAATGCACATGTATGTTTTTTCTGTTGCCCCTGTGTAAACAGAGCTTTTCTGGCTGCCTGTAAAGTCGAAAGTCATGCAAGCCCACGCTTTAACTCCCCCTTCTTGCTCCCCCATCTTCCCTGGCTTAATTAATCTTCACAGTCAGACTGCTTTTATGGGGTGGGGCAGACCATTTCATCAGCGGTGTGATCGCTGGGTCTGGCCATCATAGGCTGGTGGCGAAAAAAAACATATCCATAGTATGTGGGATAGGCGGTGTTAAGTAGATCGGTAGTTGAGTGAAAGCTTTGCAAGGTTGTCGTCGTGATTCGCCTGTCAGGTAAATGTCTCCTTGCCGCGGGGGGGGGGCGGAGGACCAGCTGACGCAGTTGGAAGAAGATGGCGGCAGCTCGCACGCCAACTCTGCTCCATCAGTCACATCAAAACTGTAATCAGAGGCATATTAACGCGAGGCAATGCCAAACAGAATCCCAAGATTGAATGACCTCATGTGGGCACATGGGTGGTAGCCAAATGAAGGAGGAGAGGATAAGCTAAGGCCAAGGCCCCTCACTGAGGGTGGGGGGAGGGGGGGGGCTGGCGCTGGAGGAGTTGGAGTTGGAAAATGAAAGAGTGACCATGTGCTGATGGAAAGGACCTGCATGTGTTAGCTATACATGACCCTTATTTGTATTTGACTAATTCCTTAAAAGTTGCTAAATTGTAACTCAATAGAGCGTAACGGTTGCCTCCGCGTGGCTCTCAGCGGGCCAACGGGGCGTTTGCCCGCAGGGCGAACACGAGAGCGGGTGCTAGCTTCAATTACCTTTAATTGAACTTTAATACCTGCTCAGATAGGCATCCCTCCACTGTGTGTAGTTGTTTGGTGCTATGTTGATAACCATAGGCAATTAGGATGCAACGTTAAACCTTTTTTTATGAGAATTTCAATGCAATTTGTACTGAACAATTTACGGACCAAATCTTATCCACACACACACATATAAATAATAATAATAATTCAATGCAGGCTGTAGTAGACAAACAGTACAAACATTCAGGCTCCCTCATGTGGCTCAAAGGTCAACTGCAGATATAAACGATTAGTAAAAGTTGTGGCCAGTGCAGACAACTGAAATATGCCACTACCTAAATACTCGGAATCAGGTCAGATCGTAGGGCTGTAGTTAAGGATGTGACTTGACATCTGGCAGTGGTGTTAAACTGTGTGTAGTAGCACTGGTCTGTTTTGGCTCAGTGGTACATTATGAGAAATACGGAAAATGTTAGTCTTAAAGTTGCAGAATTGTTATGAAAATGATCTGTAAGAGAGCTCATTGTGTATCCACTTGTAATAATACTGGTAATGGGTTCTGCCAGCCCTTTCTGCTGGCACAGTGCCACTGCAGTGTGGAGACAGGCCTGGCAATGTGGGACTGTAGGGCTCAGGGGTGCAGCCAGATTCCCATCTTTAATTCTTCTCAAACTCCACTATAAATTGCTTCAGCATCTGTTTTTTCCCCCCGACTTACACAGCTTAAACAAGGGAGGTGACTTATATGGAAAAGGGATGAGATCAGTTTCTCCCCTTGTCGTCCCTTGGGTGTCACATCATCACATGATCTTGGTTATGGAGCTCAAAAAGGCTGGCGGACCCCGCTGTACCCATCTGCTGCTCATGAGGCCTTGGGGAGACATCAGAAAGACAGACACACGACACACGACACAACACGCAGACCCAACCACGGGAGACCTGATACATTTGGAAGAACATAAGACGTGCGTCCAGAGTACAAAGGAAAGACAGGGGTTACATATGCTTATGGAAAGGGAAGAGTGCTGCCTTGTAGATCATAAGCAGAGAAATAATTGATCACCGCTCCCTCGATCATTTCTTCTGGCACGGACAGATGGCCTGGAGTCAGATTGCATCACTTCTGACTTTCTTTGGAGGAGACTGACAATTGGCAGTGTCAGATGAATGACATCTGCCTCCAATAATGAACTGACTTCATTTAAACACATGATAATTGTAGTGACAAAACTCAACAGCATGGACTCATGCAAGGTAGTTAATATTTCAACAAATTGATTAAAGGGTATATTTAAAGCAGTTTTCACAAGATACAAGATTAAGAAACCTTACATTTTTAATCCATCATCTTTAACATTAGAAATCTGTTTTGGCTGCCTCCAATTTCCTGTCTGCTAGGGAGACATCATCTAAAACTAGCTTTTAGATGATGTCACTGTTGATCACTGTAGATCACCGAGATTTTGCATCATAGGTTACAACTTATCAATGTCAATTTACTTGAAGTCATTGCCACCTTGTTGTCAGTTGAGGTCAATCATTTGTTAATATTAAAGGTTTGAGTGCAATAACAGTCAGTCAGGCCACAGGACAGGGTTACAACCAAAGTAACATACAAAAAATACAAACAATCATAAATCATCGTCCTCAATTTTGACCTTGCATTAACAAGGAAGTAGCTAATGAATATTGTAAACATTAAAAGTCTGTCCATTTTTTTTTTCATGCCAAATGTTCAATGGGTTAAAGAATAAAAGGTAAAAACTATAATAGAAAATAATAAATATTGTGGTCTTTTCCCTTTGCCGGTTCAATTGGATCAGAAGGTCGCAAAAACTTCTTTTTATGATTTTGACGTAGTCCTGTCCGACAAAATCCATGAGAGGGTTTGAAACGGAGAAAAGGCCCTTCATGTTTCCTTGGAGAACTTTAATGTAGAGATGTATTGCATTGAACACAGCGTGTGTTAGTGTGACAGGGAGTCTACACATGGTAGGTAATGATGCGTGTGTGACGGCGAGATGGCACGTTTTTCACCGCTGGTCAAGACGCACAGTGAGATCAGGAACCAAAGCACACACAGTTGTGTTTTATAAAGTGTACACAACTAATAAACGGGAACTTCACCCAAAGAGACGAAAGACCTGCAATCTCTGTGTTAGCGAGTGAGGAACAGGATCTTCTCTGAGAACCTCCGAGTGGCTCACGAAAATCTGTCGCTCCACTACTGATGACAACATTTTAGTTATAATCAACTCATTTTTAAAGCAAGACGAGCTACAGTGATGCCTTGCTGCGACTGTGCTGTTATGCTGTCAGAATGGATGTTTTATCTTTTTATATATAGATTTATACTGCTGGTGAATGTTTCTTACGGGGAACAATTATGGCTGCATTCCATCCAGGTATTGCAGTGCCAGGGCCCTCATACTGTGCATGCTATCCCATGCTGGCATGACTTACTGGCACAGTTCAATGGAATGCAGCTATCATTAATATTATTAGTTACATCTGTTCTTTTTCTGCAATGACAGTTTAAATCGTTTGCTGTGGGGAAGGAGCATTAGAGATTATTGGTGCCTGAACCTCGAACGCTTGTTCAAAGCTTGGAGAGCTTGGGGAGTGTTGGAATTCTTCAGCATGTTTCAAAAGCTTAAAATCTGTGCAGCAATTCAGGTTAACAAAGAAGAAAGTGATGATGAGCAGCAGGACCCCTGCTGGTATATTGGTAGTTATACTGATCCAGTAAAACATTAGATAATACCTTTAAATGCTTTTGTTCCATTAAGATAGTTCCCAAATAAAAGTTTGCTTTAATGTCGTTCTGTGCATCACTGCCTTCAGGAAAGGGTCACGATCTTTAATTGTGAGTGATCATCGCCGCCATGTCGTAAACACACTCTCGTAACCGTGTAAATACTGCAGGGGATGAAGAAACAAAACAGGCCTGCTGCAGTGAGGGGACATTCTTACGTAAGTTAAATTAAACCAGAGTGGATGATGATGATGATGATGATGATGATGCCAAAGTACAAGAATGAGCTAATTGCTGATTTGTTGTACAACACAAGTTGAAACTGCAGTGCACCTCAGTTCTTTGATGTTAATGAAACACTGCTGGCCGACTGGGTTCTTTACTGTGTACCGGGGCACAGCGGCCCCTATTATGACATACAAACAGTCATTCTTTTCAGGATAAAAGTGAGCACAGTGATAGACCAACATCTCACTCTCCATTTCCATTTATCTAATCTGTCCAAGCACCCCCCCCCCACACACACACACACACATTTTCAGTCATGCGAAACAACTGTAACGATAGTCATGCCTTGAATCTCTACAGCTCCTCCCTTCACAGGTGTCTTTGTCTCTCTCGCACGTCTCGTCCGTCAACACGGAGATGAATCACAGATTGGAGGAATTTACTGGACTCGAGCGGATGTTTGGGATCGCTGGGAGGCCTTGTCTTCCTCTTAGTTTTCATGCATTTTGGTGATAGACGTACCTGTAAAGGAATCGGAAGCAGAAAGAGAGCGGATGAGTGGAAAGTATCGGAAAAACACCACAGAAGTCAGTGGTGGTGTGGACACGCCAGGAGCAGATTTGGGATATTTGGAGAAATGATGGGGGAGATTTGATCATTTGAGGACCTCAAACACCAGCCGTCCGAGCTCTCCCATGTAAGTGGGATTTCATTTTTCAAATGAATGATTCACACAATGATTCAAATCTTGGTTACCTTGATATGGCTCATTGGCTGTGATTTGGAGCTCGTTTCACGTGTTTACAGGCACAGTGAGATTGAATTCTCCAGTTTGGAAATCACTTTAAGAAGATGAAACACACCTTGGCTGGATTCCTGCTGTATCCACAACCGCCCCCATGACACACACACACACACACACAAGCTAAACCAGTCTGTGAAAGATATGAGCTATAGTCATGATGAACAGAGCGCAACACCCTGAACTTTGTAATTATGATGATCACACAGGGCTGTAATTCTCACTCGACACACTTAACACTTTAGCTCGGCCTTGCTGGCATGAACACGCCACACCAATAAATATACATTCCTGCTCTCCTTTCTCCAAAGATTAAAGCGCCGTTTCATGTGCTCAAATCTGAAGCTGACGTGTCTGTGTCTGGTTTTATCGGCACACAGTAGGCTTGTGCTGTGAGCTCTTCAGTGTAAAGTCATACTGATGAGTTGGTTTACAATATACAAAGTGCTGGTAAGATAAAACAGTGCTTCCCAACGAGGATACTTGCACGTGATAAGGTACTGTATATCTGAGGGGGGGAGGTTATCACGGTGTACATGGGGGAAAAAGAAAGAAAGAAATGATAGAAAAAGGAATCCACATTTCTGTGCAGATAATCTAAACACTTGGTTGTATGTATATGTAACATTTGGGTTAATGTAAAGAAAACATAGTTCAAATAGTTATCGTAAAGTAAAGAATAAACGGTTCAATTAGCTACAATTTGGGCAGATGGACAAATGGTTGAAACGGTTTGAATGTCACATGAGTGGTTTGATACTATAGCTAGTGAACTATATGGGTACAAATAAAAGGATAAATTATGAAATAGGTAATAAATAATACAGTAAATGTATTCAATGAATGAAATGTCCTGTTGTAACTCGGGAGAAGGCTGATTTAGTCTCACCAAAACCACCGAAACATGAAAACAACACACACACACACACACACACACACACACACACACACACACACACACACACACAGAAACAAACGCTGTGTTCTTATCATAGACATCCCAGAAGCTTCCCGAAAACAAGCCAACACGAATCTCTCCCTGCGCTACCCACAATCCTTATCTGCAAAGTAAATAAGGGCTCCCATCCTGTCTGGAGGGGTTTGTCTCTTACTACACCGAGCTCCGTCGGCCGACCGTCCATAAAGCGGAGGAAAGGAGAGGCAAGGTGAAGGAAGGCTTTGTGCAAATGTTGCATAAGAATGTTGAAACATTGTTTCAAAAAAGGAACGAAGTACTGTACAAACAATGTGTGTATTGCAAGATTCTTGGAGCATTCAAAGAAAAGGTTTGTGTCTTGAAAAAGAGGTGTGCTTGACAGACATTTTCCATGCATTATTTCTAAAGATTATATTTTTCATAATCTTCACACAAGAGGCAGATTGGAAAGGGGCGAGAGAGGAGCTACAACATGCAACACGTGCGCTGCAACATGCAGCTGCCAAGGTGCCCCAGACAAACTGAAGCTTAATGGTAACATAAACCTGCATCTCATACTGATTACTGAACAACCCTCTTCTCTGGAGGAGAGTTGTAGATTGTTCTACAAACAACTCAATAACAATCACAATCAACGCAACTTGACAAAACCCACTCTGAGCCGTACGTGTGCTCAACCTTCGTGACGGGATCGTGTAGCTTCTAGACTTCCTGCTATTTTCTGTCTGCGGTGGAGAAGCAAAACACAAAGTTCCATGTTTGAGTTGCCAAGTGGAGAAATGAACGGTAAACACTAGCATGCCTCTCCTTTATTCACATCGTGAGCGGCGACGCCAGAAAACCATTAAATTCATCTTTGGCAAAGGGCAGGAAGACTGCGAGGACGGGACGAACTCACACGGGGAGAAAGAGAGAGAGAGAAGAGACGCATTAGGAGTCGTCGCCGTGACATGGAGGCCACAGAAACAGGCCGGCCGCTAAAATGAGACAAGCACGGCATCGTTATTCAACTGTGGGAATCCAGTTGTAAACATCAGCAGAGGAGAGGAAGGATCGGTTGCTGGAGCCAAACAGTGTGTGTGTGTGTGTGTGTGTGAGTGTGATTATAAAGTCGTGAACACCCACACATACAGTGTATGGCTGTAAATAAAACAGGGTGGGGACCTATTTAAGATTAGAGCCCTAAATGTTTATATCTACTCGCCATAAAAGCTGATATGAAAGTAATTGGTTACAGTGCAGACGTTTCTTTACACAACCCCAAAACCCACGGACGTAAAGTTGTGTGAACGTCTTCAAACAGAGATGGGCTACTCGCATTAATCAGCAAAGAGACATGCCTATGTTAGATGGGTTTATTCTATGTGGATGGCCTATAACCCCTCATTTACAATGTGTTTATAAGGCTATGATTGTATCTTACACGACCACATCTTAGTAAGCAGGGAGCATAAACAAAATGAGCCCCAATGCTCATAATTCAAAATGCAATAACCACCATGTACATATATATATATATACAGGCCAATGTAAAGTGCAATACCATCTGAAACCCAATACCTCAAGAGCCATTTCTGGTTACACTTTTACGTTGTGTCTAAACAAAAAGTTATGACTCGGCGCCACAGGAATAAGTGGGGGTAAAAATAGTTAGGGTAAAATGAAATATTCCTACCGAGTGACAATTTGACGTTTGCCCGTCAGTGCAAACGTTGTCCTACTCCTGCGGCTGCTTGGAGAAACACTGCCGGGAGGAACGTTCCCAGGAAAAGGGCCCTTTTTTTGTCTGTGTGCTGAAAAGCATAATTGCACATCTGAGCTCACACAAGATGCCTCTCTCCCTCTCCGACGGCAACATAAACTTCTGCTGCATTCTTGAGAGAAGAGTTATGTTGACCTCCTCTCCCTCTCCCAGAGTGTTTGTGTGTGTGTGTGTGAAGGAAAGAGTGAGTGTGCGCGAGCATGCGCGGTGTGTCAGTACACAGTAAGTGTCTATGATCACATACGCCGTATGTACAGTACAATAGGGTGTGGATACAGGGGAGAGCTTTACCGGAGGGGGTGAATCGTGTGGGAGAAGGAGAAGAGTTTGGTGGTGGTGATGAGGAGGAGGAGGAGGAGGAAGGAGGGGGGGTAGCACTCCAGTCATGTTTCAACGTTTGTGAGTCAGTCTTTGGCAATGAGGGAGGCCATGAATGAGAGTACTTGTTTATGTGGGTCAGTGGGCTCTCTTTAACCCTTCCGCCTTTTCACAGGAAGTAGCTGCTCCACCCACGGATGGTGCCTGACCGAAAGACAAATAATGCGTGCGGGAAAGGAAGTCCGACACATCACCAGTGAGACAAAAGCCTTTTTAGTCTCTGTGGCTCTGAGGAAAACGTCTTTGCACTGCAGATAGGATGCTTGGTTTTCGCCACTTGTGCAGCTTGTTCATTTCTTCTATCTCCATCCACAGAAGGCGGAGGTTAATTGGAGTGAGATTGTCTGTCTATATATGAAACTCTTCTCTCTGCGGGAGGGAAACTGGATCAGGACTGGAACTCTAAACTGTCGCTGACATTTTGCTGAGAGCCAAATGTGGCGAAGGAAGCCTTGGTGCTTAGCGTCGCATGCACATAAATTGCTTGTCCTGTTTATGCAGCTGCTTTATTCAGAGGAAATTCCAAATAAAACGGCCTTTTCAGGATGCGAGTTAGATGAACATCTAAATACTGTGTGTGCACCTGGTGGAGCTCAATCGCACTGACCCTTTGAGTCAAACTTAAGCTTGAAGAGAAGGACAGGTAATTGACTGGATTTGCAATCATGTACACTTAAAACTCCATCAAATAATATAAAAATGTACCAAATTCGTCAAAACAATGTAGTGAAGTTGGCTGAGAGGTTTGTCGTTAGTTAAAATAATCTGGATACCTTTTTAGAACAATATGGAGAATAATACAATGCACCGTATTACCACTCAAATATCGTCGTTTGGATCTTGTCTTTGTATTGCCGAAGGACACAACAACAGGATGACTGTCTCTCCGGCTCGCGGGTTTGAGCACCGTCCCAGAGTTCAGAAGACCCGACCTTGAAAGCTGCCACGCCTGCAGCGTAAGAAGTGATTCTGGCGGCCTTAGGATGGGTGAGCTTCACGGGGCCTCATACGCCGTTGATTCACCACAGCAAGTCTGAAAGGGGGGGAAGAACAACAATGATATCAAACGCCCCCCCCCCCCGCCCCACACAGGCTGTGGAGCGGACATCTGTCCTCCGTAAACTCACCAGGATGTCACTGTCAGTGGAGAATGTCTGGAATGTTCCCTTGTGGTCAGTGGGCCAGTGAACCAGTCTTTTTGCTTCCAGTGTCTGGGAACAAAGGCAACTTGCTCCACCTCTCACCTTTGTGGATTTCTTTTTGGACCGGGCCTGAGGAATTTCTAACTTAGGAGTTATGCTCTCGACCTCCAGGTCAGCCAGTTGGGGACCACCCTCATACAAGTATATCAGCCATCACATTGTCCAAGCCGCTCACATTTTGGTTCATAACATCCCGTTTTTTGCAATAACGCGTTGACATCAGCGAGTAGGAATGTTCCCTCACCTTGTTCTCACCCTGCTCAGTGCACAGCTCGCCATATAGCGTGTCATCATCGCGTATGAAAGATTTGTGTTGTGTGAAGGAGACGTGTGGGAGGCGTGTGCGTGTCAGTTACTGCCTTTGATGTTGTCAGGTACTGAATGTCTTGCTGTTAAATGTTTCAGTGGTCAGAAGGACAAGTCATGGCAGCTCCCTGCTCACCGCTGAATGGTTGTTTGTAAGAGTTGGTACAATTTCTTCAGAAGAGTTCTGAAGAAATTATCAGGTAAATACTTTGCATGGAAGTGATACTGTAGTTTTCTTTCTGAACCAGCTCATAGTCTTTGCTCGCAGAGAGTATCTGCTGGCTCTGCAGGTCACCTTATCTGTATACAACTGCTGGCCTCATTTATCTCGCTGTTTTGGTTCACCTCGTTCTCAATCATCGTTATTGGACTCTCAGGGCGACTGATGTAAACAGGAGACCACTGTTGGTGTCCAGTGCGAAATGAAAATATGTTCTTTTCCAAAAAACATTAAGAAGTGGTTTTGTTTGCTAGACCCAATTTAAGTTTATTTCGAAAAGACCGGCATGTAACGAGTGGAAAGGGACGTGCTGTTTGCTTTGACAGCTCACAGGTCCCCTGTCTTCTGACACCTTTTTTCTGTGGCTGAGCATAAAAGCTCGGAAAAAGCCACCGTGCGCTTCCTGCTCCTTCTACGGCTATTTTCAACTTGCTCCAGAGCAAAGAGGTGTCTTCTTTCCGCTGCCACCCATTCTCCCTCAGCTCATTCCTCCATCGGCTCTCCAGCTACTGCACATTTGTTATCGTCGGGCCATGGATCTTCCTCCAACCCTCACTTTCTCCATCATTCCTTCCTGCACCGTCTTTTAATTTGACCCCAGCCCCCCCCCCTCTCCCGCCGTTGCGTGCAACGAGAGGAGGTATACTCTTTCATCAAGTGGGGGGAGGCGGGGGCTAGGATTGAGGAGGAGGTGGAGGGGGGGCTGCTGGGACGGGATCCATTTTCAAAGCGCTATCTTTTCATTTGTTTTCCTTCAACATTTCACTGCTATTTAGAAGGGGGGAGAAAGAGGTGAAAAGAAACAAGAAAAACCCACTGACGCACACTGAGAAACGGCCCAGATGGTCATCACTCCTAAACGGGAACAACTCACCAGCCTATCTACCGTGTTAAGACAAGACCCCCCTGCAGCCGGCTCCGACCCCAGCAGACCGCAGCTGCCACAGGGAGATTTGTATCTTTGACTGGGATAAAAAAAAAAAAGGGAGCACCAACCAGGACTCACCTGTAGTTGCTTTTGTTTGAAACTCAAACGTTCCCAAAAGAGCTTCCCCACCCCTCGTCTTGGCAGGCAACACAGACCTTTATATCTGTCTAGGATGTTCCTCTTTTCTTAAATCAATCCAGGAAGCGTATATCCATCTTCCCCGAGGCTGCTTTTAATCCCCTCATCACGAAAGGAACCAGAGAACCTCCTCATGGTTTTCTCCATTCCCACAAGCATACTTGGGACAAAAACACATTTTCGTTTATCTGCTGGAATCTCTCGTCAGTGACATGCTATTGTAAAAGCACAAGAGGAGGGAGGGATGGAGGGCCGAGGGTGGAAGGACAGGAAGGGAGCAGGAGAGGGTTGCGATTAGCTCAGTGGTTAGCACTTCATTACCTTGTGTCTCACGTTGTTTTATGTGCCTGTCTGTGTCTTAGGTGGGCTGTAATGGGATAGTGAATATCAGGCCCCACATACTCATGGGAAGATTTTTTTCCCCCCCAGTAGATGGACCACCTTGACCGGGCTTAATGTTGACCTGGGCTTTACTACTAACTTTTCTGAATGTGGCAAAGATGTTAGATAAAGAGCCAAAACCCGTTCTTGGTGAAATGTGGTTACAGATTATCGTAATGGCCAAAACTAGCTGCTGAAACACGAGACTACATGGACTACTCTCACGGGATAAATCGACAGAATGTGGAAAAAAAAAACATTGTAAGGACGAGCTGAAGTCTCGTCTAGGGTTGGAATGTCTCGTATGAATGTGTGTTTGGCTGTTATGGTCACGCATTGATTCATCTTCTAGACGCCGCAAGCAAATGAAGAGCGCTCTGTCTTGTCCCCAACAACCCAAATCATTCATCTCCCACCTGAAGTCTATTCAACAACCCACCCCCCTCCGTGTGAAACGGCCACGTCTGGAGAACCGCGGAGGAAGAGGAAGCTGGTCAGGGGAGTCCACGCCCGTGCTGATATCAATCACCGCAATATCAGTTTGAGGATGGCCAGTCAGTTGGTGTGGTTGATAAGGCCATGTGAAGAGATTGTGTGAAGCTGCAGCGTGAGAAAGTGTGATGGTGATGCTGTAAACGTTGGCGTTTGCAAAACTGAAGATTCAAATGACTGTATTCAAAGGGACGAGAGAAATAAGTTTCTGTTTTTTAATCAAAACTGGATGGGAATTTCCCTGGTCAAATTTTGGGGCACAATTTCCGTTAAAAAACGGAGAGGGCGAGAGAAGAAGAGAGGAAAGTAGCAACGAATGGAAAGAGAGTGGAAAAGCAGAGGGAGGGTAAAAAGGAACAGAAACTTTAATCACAGAAACACTGACCCATAAAAAAGGAGAAGCAGACACAAGTGGAAACCAGAGGAATGTTGTCCAGCTGGTGGATACATCCATCCATCCCGTTCTCTGCTGTATTTCTACTTAAAGCTATGGCTGAATTGGATTGGGGTGGTAGAAGCAGAAAGCCTCTGAAACAAAAAACAAATTGAAGGATGAGCTAAAACCAACAGTGCTAAAACTTTGCGGCCATAGGATCGGGTGGCCGAGCAGCCAGGCCGCACATCTCTGAGCTTTAGCCAGCGACGATGCTTCAGACCGCTCGTCTGAGACAGATCTCCTACAGGGTGCTGAAGGATGTTTAATTAACCTGAGCGGCCGGCTAGCTAGATCGCTCGGCCACAGCCTCTTTGCCCCAGAACCGGCCCCACCAAACTGGAATTAAACCTGCGTCGCCTTACTGGGAAGGGCTGCGGCCAATTAGCCGCATTCATGCTGACACTGCTGACTGTTCACTTTTCGGCCGTGCGCATCCTAATGCTAACAAGAACAAGATGTTTTGTGATTGGAATTCTTATCAGCGGCTTGAGGATCGTCGGTTCTGGAACACAATGATGGGATACCATAGAAGCATTTCCTCCTCTTGGCTTCTTAAGAGATAAAGTGTACCTGAATACACGTTTTAGTAGACTTGGCTGTGTCCCATCGTGTTATTTTTACAGCCTCGTGTTCGTGCCCTAATCACTTGGCCCGGGGGAAAACACGGATAAACTCTCATTGCCATTTGGATGGAGAGGGTTTATCTCATGAAAAAATGATGTAGGTCTATCTGAAATACACCCTGAGGAATCACATATAGGCCTGGTGGCAAGCATCTACACGGCCATGGTTGACTAAAAAGGACAAGCGGCAGTTTTGTCTTAAATAGCTTTGTCATTTCCGACATATACTCCAATTGTGCCTATTTGTACTTTGCATTTGCACTGTAGCGCATCGCCTGTGCTTGGATAATCTTGTGGAATAAATTGGCCTGCCCGGCCCATTGATGTTTTTGAGTGGCATACTGCAGCATGTCTCTCGACAAGGCCCAGCTCATGCGGATCTGTGCAATCATGAGCAACAGGTGGGCTTGGATGGCGTTCCTTCCGCTGCAAACAATTTCGCTTTGAAACCCCTAAAGCCTGATCCAAGACAGGAAAAACTTCCCATTAGTGCTGCTTATTTTCTTTTCACTGACCACACACACAAGTACACACGGACACCAAAACATTTAAACATGGACTTCCATTCATTTCCTGGAGATTTAACCAAACTTGAACCATAACTGTGACAGTGGCTAACAGCGACCCAAACCCCTACCTTGTAGGAGAAGTACAACATGTTAGGATGTATGTCCATTTGGAGCTAAGTTCTGGTGGATAGGTTGATACCATTCTCGTATACCAGTCCTTGAAAACAAAGCTGAAAGAGAGGAAACAGATGTAAACAGCTGGCCAGACTCAGTGCAATGTGAATTAAATCCAACTACCTGCACCTCTAACTCAATCCAATCTTCTTTGTTCAATCTCTACAAGTATACAAGTGTCAACTCTGCATTTGTGGGCAGGTATATGGATGTGGTCAAGGGGCACTCAGCAATTGGTTTGTTGACATCCCGGTTTCTTGAAATGTTTAGACTGCTGTTCTAAATTTAGGCCATTGCCATCTTTTTGCAGTGACACCAGAGTAGTTTGTGTCGCCTTTGTGTCAATCAAAAGAGCCGCTTGTTAATCAATTGAGAAGTGTTTTCTCACAGGCTTCTGCAAGCAGAGGAGTCGTCCCCCTGCTGGCTACCAGAAGGAATGCAGGTTTGTGGTACTTCTGCACTGGCTTCACTTCATAGACCTTAAGGTTGCTGCCTCGGACAGAACATGACTATCTGTTTGCCCCTAACGACGAAAGAGTTGGTACAATCTCAACCAAAAAACAACTGTTCATCCTAAATTGTAATAGTTTATCCTGTGTGGACCAGAAGGGAAGTGTGTCCACATGAAGTCACTGTTTTAACAGATTTTTGTTCTGACCACACACTTTAATCAACAAGGCCACAAAAGCCCACATTGACACTGAGAAACGTACGAGTTCTCTACTGGTATAGGACAGATAAAGTTCTCTCCCCTCAGTGCATGCTATATGTTTGTGCTGGATGGAGAGTGAGCTGCAGCGGGCTTAACGTTGTAATCAGAGCCCCGAACCGTCCACCCTGCACTGAGACTCTGGAGTGGTTTGAGAGTGGGCCAGACATTCCTGAAGAGATCGCCGCCCAGACACCCAGCAGCAGCCAGTCAGCAACAAATTCCAGAATAGTAGCGCTGCCGCTAAAAATAGTCATCTGGACAGGAGAGGGACGGAGAACTGGCTGTGTGGATGGAGAATGAATGATAGAGGAGTGGAAGCCGAGCAGGAAAGGAGGGCTTTATTCCATTTCATATCCAGTCACAATGTTATCACAGCGGCGCAGAGGAAAAGGCGTCCCGCAGGGTCGTGAGTCAGGGAGCCCGCGTGAGAGAGCGAGGACGAACGAAGGGGGTCATAAAAATGTGCACAGGCGAGTGTGGCCGTGCATTTGTGTGTGTATGTGAAAGGAGCATGGAAAGCGGCCTCTCAGACTGTTATTACTAAAACAATGTGTCAGCTAAGCAAGGGAACACATGCTTCACTGTACCCGGGACTTTCTTCAGGCCCGGCCCTCTGTTTATTTTTCCTGCAATGAACGGGCAGCTCGGTTTACAGCAGCCACCCTAAACCTTCACTGCAGAACATCCCGCCTGCGACAGCAGCCAGACGAGTCCATCCAAGAACATTTCAACCCTTTTCCTCCGATCAAGCCATTTTTTGACGGACAAAAGGAGTTGTTAATGCATATGCATTCTTCAGCTTCTGCGTCCCAAATCTGCCCCGCGTGTGGTGGCTTTTATCGGAGGCAGCTTGAGGCGAGAGGCCTCTTTTTAAGTCTGCGTGGTAAAAGTAGAGATTGGCTCCCATTCTCGTTCGTTGTGCAGAGTTTCATATCTTGAAGCCATAGAGTCAGGGTCACGCTGAAGGACCGGAAGGGGTGCGTGGGGAGGGGTCTGCCGTGGTTTGGCATTTTGAATGTAGCTGCCGTCTCCACCAATAAGCCCCCACCTCCAGGGGCAACAGGCTCACCTTCCCCATGTGGAGGGAGGAGGGTGAAGGAGGGAACAGTTCAGAGGCTGTAGCAGCTGGACTTTATTTAGGGGTCAAAAAGTGAACCAGAAATTGTTCTAGAGACATAGGAAAATGCCTTTGAAACTCAGATCATATCACTGCCCTGACAGTGCAGCCGTAGAAAATTCAAAAGATTTTTTTTTCTTCCCCACAACATTTACTGTGTCGGCCTTTGAATGCCACTGACAATTAATTACCATGTGCTTTTAAATTGTTGAATAATTGCCTCATTATTGTCTCTCCTCTGCTTGTAGTACATCCGATTCTTGCTGGCGTCTAACAACTGTAATTTGCAGTAAAACAAAAAAAGAACCTCTGCATGTTCCAAGGACAATTACTGTGTATTAGTCTTTTAGAGAATACTTCCCAAAAATATGACTTAAGAAGATGATTGATGTAATTTTCTGCAGTTCACTGTCAGTGTGACAAAGGAAACATTGTTGTAGGAGGGATTTATATATAGACGACTTGAAGGCTACTTTTATAGCTCAGACAAGCTTATAAAGGCCAATTTCAGGCTTTTTTCAATTTCATAACTGTTTCAGCGTGTGATTGAGGAAACCAAATCCTACTGTGCACCAAGGCGTAGAAGAATCTCATGTTGTCTTCCTCCGAAGACTGCCGCTTGTGTCTGGCCAGCGAGCTGGGGTTCAGGACCAAAGCCCTGAAAGACTGCAGGGCTTCCAAACATCGACTCCCCCTCTGCAAAATGTGGATCAAATGAACCTAAAGTAGCAGCGGCAGCAACGTCCTCCCTCCACTATCAAATGAGTGTCCAAGTTTTAAAAACAGATACTCGTTTCTTCTCGGAGCCAGACATGAAATATGTTCTCCGCTCCGTGTTGTCTGCTGTTTGTTTGACTCTGTCAGTGTTGTAATGACAAAAAAGGACTTTTCTCCAGAGACTGATATACTTTTTAAATACTTTTTTAGTAAATACCAGAAGGTGTGCTGGGTCTAAAAAAGAACACTATTCTTTGAAGATGTGAAATCAACACTTTTGTCACATAACTGCCTGAAGCATTCTTCGTCCAACACAACACATTTGTGTTGGGAAAAGTCAATGTAATAGGCAACAGGTCTTTCATTGTAATCCACACCCAGGACCTTTGCTTCACACCAGAGGACCACCGCAAACATTCCACGTGTGATCTATTTCCATGTGATAGCTTTCCTCTGGGTCATCTGCTGCCTGCTTTTCCATCCTCTTCATTTGATATGTTTTATGATGTCATTCACTTTGCTGTTGTTGAAATGTGTAGCACATTTTAAAATGCCATGCAGGACTGACTGGCCCCTCAAGACAAGCTGTGTCAACATCTCAAATATAAACTCCAAAATGTAAAAGTATCAAAATAAATTCCACAGAATCGCAGTCACGTGGTTTCCATTTGTCCTACTGATTGGTTGTCTTACCTTAATTGGAGCCAGGGTAAAGAGAGGGAGGGGGGAAGAAAACTACAGAAAAAGCTAAGAATTCTGTTTTTTTTGGGAGCGCGATGAACAACGAACAACAATAATTATCCCCGAAGAGGATGTTTGACCCTGATAATGTCTCCACTGCTGCATGAACTTTTCTGCTGCGCAGCTCATTTGCTACTATTGTAGCAACAAAAGTGATTTCCTCGAGAACAAAGCGGTGGATCTCGGACAGCCAGTTCTCATAACCGATGGAACAGCAGGATGAGAACTGGGGCGCCCAAATGTGCGTAAATGAATGTGTATTCCCGCTAATAAGCTTGATATAGTTGTGTGTGACCTTACAAGCGTATTACTCGAATGATTTTGAAAGGTTCAAAAATTGATTTTGGGTGGAATATACTGTGTACATCTACGATTCAGGCTGTGTGGACGTTCTCCTCGGTGCTTCTGCAAAAGTTTAAAGTTCCAACAAATGTTTCCAAACTGTTATTTTACTGTAACAAGGTGACCTAAATATTCTGGCTTCATCCACCAATTACATTGATGTTGAAGATGCAAATAGAGACACCTTTGCTATATGGAGCACCACGGTTGACCTCCTTCCTGCCTTCAAGTAGGTTTTTGGGCCGCATATACTGGAAAAGAAAGTGGGACATGTCTCCAGTAGTAGTTTGTTTCTTCCTTGTCCCAACTGCAAGAAGACGAGCGTTAGATGAACTATTTGTAGTTCTGTCACACTGTGACCCCTGGGAATAATTTGTTTATCCAGTTCAACAACTGGATGAAACCGGAATTTTTAAAGCAGCCCTCGACCTCAGAAGACTTGACCTCTGTAAATAGATTAAAGGAACACCAGCAGTGTGCCGTCTTAGACTATTATGTGAATTGGATGAAGGTTGTTTGCAATTTAAATGTCAGATACTTCAGTATTAATCCCCACTGAGACCAATTTATACCTGTATGTATTGGCAGTTTCTTCGTCCTATTCAAGGGAATATCTTGATTGCATCTTTAATAAGCACATTTAAAATTCAAATGAAAACAAACAGCATGAAAAGAAAATATGTGTAACTTTCAAGATCCATTTATTTGAGTTGATTCAGTACTACAGCAACATTGTGTCGAGTAGAAATGCACCCGGATGGACTATTATGACATTTTATAGGATTCGAGGAGTCATTTCTTACTCTTAAAAATAACACGGCTGATCGCTGCTTTCACAATGAGATGAAACCACTCGATTTCGTACAAACAATTGTTGTTTTTGTGTGCAGTCGGCCCTGAACACAACACACAGTCTAAAGTAGGCCGAAGCATGAAAAGGGAGTATTTGGACAACAAAGGAAATGGCTTGATCACCAATAAATACAAGTATCAAAACACATTGATAATCATTTTCATTATCAAAAAAGAAAAAAAAAGGGTTCGTGAAAGATACCAAAGGCACACGACTTAATCCACCTTGGCAGTCCAGGATCACCAACAGACAAAAAGAACTGTGGCAATAGCCATCAATGGTAATGAGCCATAACAAAAATAATACTTAAATATCATAATAATACTAATTTATTATTATTGTCATAACAATATCCAGTCAAGTTTTCGTATGATTAGACTACTGCTAACTAACAGATATGCACCACGTATTTCCAGTTTGGCAGAGTTAAAGTTTCACCATCAGATTCCTTCCATTGCTTTATTTTCTTTTAGTCCTGATGCATTTTGGACCTTGCCAACTTTGGTAGAAGAGCAAATCCAATTTTCTTCGGGTCAGCCATCAAAACATGAATGACCATTCTGACCCTTTGCCAGTTCATCAAGTGTTTTTTGTAGGTTTTTCATGAACTACTTCTGAACTGAACTTCTTCCTCCTGCAGGTGTAGCAAAACAGTTGGAATCTGAGACTACACCAACTTCTGATCAGATCTGAAGTATTTTCTGCCATAACATAAAGCAATATAAAGTTTCTTATATTTTGGAAAATCAAAAACAGAAGCATAATGAAACAAAAATACTAACATAGTATAATTTTCTCACTGTAAATCCAGTTGACAATAAAATGCAATATAAAAAGGCAATAAAAATGCAATATAATACGCAACGGGGTCATTGGAATTAAGACCCAGGACCTTTGCTTCACACCAGAGGAACCCTGCATTCAACATGAGATGCGTTTCCTCTGCGATGTTTACTGCAGGTTCTTCCAACCACATCATTTGGTATTTTGGATGATGTCAGTCACCGTTCTCCCACTTTCTGCTGCGGAACGGAGCGTTAAACACTTTTGCCACGCAGGACACACAAATCGCACACTGACTGAAGACAATCAGTACAAACAGCATCTCAAATAAAAACTCCAAAAGAAAAAGCCAATGTGGGGATGATTTCATTCATTGATCGGGACTCCCGTTAGTCCCTAACCTAACCATTCCTCCCTCACGCCAAACCTTCAATACATTCTGGGTTTAAAAACTTCAACGTCAACTCTTTCTACTCACGTTCTTTACTTTCACTATTCCACTTTACAATTCCTTCAATAAATCGAACACCTCGACCTTTCCTGTGTTCTACAGGAAGGTCCTGTCTGACCTCCGAGCCTTTCCGAGCATCACTCCTTCACACACTCCTCTTCTCCCTTTAGCTATCAACCTCCACGTCTCTCTCTTACTCTCGAATGAAAACAACGGCTGGCTAGTTGTGCTCCGTTGACATAATGGACTAGTGTACACAGCTGGAGGGCTAAGCACGCACCGCAGATCCCACCTGTGCTGAGTCGGGCCGGGCCTGATACAGATCTCTAGCACCAACACGTCTCCAGCCTTTGTCTGAGGAATTCGCAGCGTCATCAGCAACCCGAACAAATCCTCTTATTTGGATGTTTTAAAGAGAGCTTCGGGTAAAATGTCGACAAGCTTGAAAATAGGAAAACCACGTTGCGTGTCTTTGGTAAAAAAAAAAAGAAAAAAAGAAAAGACAATGAAAGATTCTCAGGTAGTTTTATCAGGTAGCCCCGAAAAATGTGAAAACCTCCAAGGTTGAGTGAAGCGGGAACATTCCAGGACTGTGACATGGTGTCTGGCCCATCTCCCTTCACTAAATGCCCCACTAGGTGAGTCCCTCCAGACCTCCTGGTGCTGCCAGCAAATCTGTGCTCATCAAACCCACTAAACTGCTGACAAACCGAACTATGGGCTTAAACCCAGACAAAGAGCACGGAGGAGGTCTCTCTGAGGTCGTATCTGTGTGTGATTCTACATGTGGAAGGAGACGAGTCTGTTTGATCTCAACTGTCCCGGTTTGACCTTTGAACCCCCAAAGCAAGTAAAGCTAGTCGGCTGTGTGCTGAAGGCCCTGCGTCTCTCCACATTCACTTATATTCAATTATTCCAAAAAAAAAAAAAAGCACAACTGGTGACAGGTTGGCCTGGCTTTTCTCTCCACTTTAAGGAAATGACATAAATAATTCTTAATTATGAATCAAAAAAGGCACTTCCTACATATTCCCTGGTATAATACATATACATAGGACATACGCTTTTATGAAGGTATATTTGTCTACGTGTTTTACAAGCGCAGACACAGTTATATATGCTGAGTATATATATGTTTCTCACCAAGGAGTAACATCATTAAATATGTCAGATCCACTCAAAGAGTCCGAGACAAGGAGCTTTGAACTCTTCCAGTAACAGCCAGCGCCCACCAGTTTTGCACTTAAAACTAAAAAGCTACAAAAATATTAATAAATAATCAGCAATGTCAGTTTTTTTTTTTTTGGAACAAGACCCTGGTTTGTTTCTCTATTTTTTTTTTTAAAGGAAGTAAAGATCACAAAAGCGTGTGCTCTGTGTGAGTTTTAAGGTGCTTTTGTAAACTCAAACTCAAAATGGGTGGTGCACAAGGAGAGCCGACCAGCTTCTGGTGGCTGCGTTTGTGATTCTAACTTGCCTTCATGCTGAATATGTAAACATGTTGAACACAGCAAAGTCTACGGGCGGGCCAAGAAAGCAGACTGGGTGGCATTCTCCTGCGCCGCGAACGGAATCCCCTCCGGTCAGAGAGGTGCACGAGTGTGTGTATTTATGTGCAAAGAACATATCATTTCCCAACAAGATTTCAGCCCCATTTGGAAAACCACTACTTCCCAAAAGGTGTATCCCAGTAACACACTGGTCGTTAATGCCACCGATAAACATCACACACATGCGCACACGTACACAGTCATGGTCAATTCCGTCCGCGTCCTCCCTCTCCGCCGCCCATCTGCTAGGTGAGGTTGCCGCTGATGTCCAGGGCTTGCTGGTACACCTGAGTCATGTCCTCCAGGTCCCCCAGCAAGGAGAAGCTGCCATTGTCCCCCGGGGAGCCTTTCGTTTTGGGGCCGCGGCTGAACTTGGGTCCCTGGAGCGGCGGGGCCGCCTGGAAGCCCTGGAAGTTGGCGAGCTGCAGCAGGTTTTCCGCTGAGACACAGGCCCTGATGTTCGGGCGGAGGTGGGGGGTGGAGGGGTGCCACTCGGCCCCACTGATGGAGGTGGGCGACAGGGACAGGACGGAGCTGTCCTCCCCGACGATGCTGGAGGGCCGACTCTGACTGCGCGACAGACCGGAGTCGGTCGAGGGATGAGGCTCACCGAGGACACCGGCCACCGCTGCCGCCGACGGAGGCCCGCTGTAGGTGGAGTATTTGCCGTTTCGCTTCAAGATGCCCTTTCTACCCATCAATCTTCTGGGCGGGGAAGTGGCTAGCAGTGACATACTAGCACCCCCTAGGAGCTCGGAGGACTCGCTGCGCTCCGGGGAGGAGTAGTACCCGGATTCCCGCTGTTGGTTGTTCTTTAGGATGCCTTTCCTGGGCAGCGAGGGCACCATCTTCGCAGGCGAGCCTCCTCCCAGACTCAACTCCTCTTCCTCTTGAACTGGACTCGAGGCTTCCTCTGCACCTTCGGCCTGATTGGGCACCGCTGCCTGGCTCAGCTCCACTTCTTCCAGACTGGCAGACCGCTGCTCCCCGGCGACCCTGGTCTTCAAGATGCCCTTGGGTCTCTTCAGACCCGGCTTGTCCTCTGCTCCGCAGTGGGCCTCCCCGGCTTCGACATTTTCCTTCTTGGATTTTTTCGGCCTCTGGCGCAGCAGCTGCGGCAACGCGGCAGCCTTGGCTCCAGAACCACGTGGCTCAGTGCGGTTCTGCCAGTCGATGAAGCGGGCCAGCATGGGCGAGCCTCCGTGATCGCGTTGGGTCTCGCAGTCACACACACTGTTCTTCCAGCCCCAGTTCACCCACCAGTGGTTGGCTATGTCCTCCACCGTGGCCCGGCGCTCGGGGTTCACCATCAGCATCCAGCGGATCAGTCCCCGGGCGTCTAAAAGGGAACATTAGATGATGCATTCTATTATTCAATTTAGATTCGTTCAAAATGAAAGTGCTAACCAGAAGGCGAGTAGAATGACACGTTTGTAGCTTCTGAGAGATTATTCAGTTTCTTTATATTGTCTGGACAAAAGGTATCATACTTAATGGATTGTGCAGATTCTACCACGTTAGCACATCGAGTGCAGTGATGCATATTTCATTCAGCAGTTAGGAGACTTTCAAGTATTTTCTGAAATTTCATTAGAAAGGCTGTACAATATACAGACAGAAAGACAAGCGGCATGTTTTCAGTTCATAAAGCTGAGCTATAGTAGATTTTGAGAGGTATGTGTACAGGTTGATAGAGGAAAAAGAGGAACAGTAGAAAGATAAAACAGGTTCCTGCAGTACCCGAGGACTGAGTGGGCTCTTTGTAGTCGCCGTTGCTAATCTGGCGGATGAGGTTCTTGTGGTCTCCACCATCGAATGGCATTGTCCCGTAGACCAGGGTATACAGCAGCACCCCAAGAGCCCAGCTGTCCACCTGGGGATGACAACAAAATACATAGTTATAGTGGAATCCACTCACACATGGCACACAGAAGCCTCAGTGCTCCTCAAGCTTTGCAGATGTTATGGCGGATGCCAGTGCAATGTGCCTTTCTAAGTAAGCGGTTACGTAAGGCTTTGTGTCCGGGGCACGAGGAGGTGCAGAGCCACGTGGGAAGCGGTGGGAGTGGAGGAGGCTACTAATGAGTCCAGCAGAGACGTGATATCCTGGCCTCCGACGGCTCGCTGGAGACACGCTGCCATTCATCCGTCAGCACAAGAGCTTCCTCAGTGTGCGTATACGAGAGTGTGACAAAGAGTGAAATGTGATGCGTTGACTGTGGTTAAGGGAGGATGGGAAGTTCAGAGGAATGAGCGTCCGATGGCGGCAGCGGAAGTTATGAGTTGCAAGTCTAGGAAGAGGAAATCAGATAGGGCCGGTTAAGGAGCTAGTGTACTTCCTCTAAGGACCTGGACCCGCATCAAGAATGTCTCTGCCGGTCCATGCCCGAGGGCGAGACGGGCCCGCACTATTGTGTTCTTATTTTGATGCCTGTGTTTGCTGTAATTTGTGGCCTCACCCCAACCGGGGGTTCTGTCATTTTGATTGTAATCGAACTGCTGTAGTCTTTAGCACTCTGGAGCAAATTATAGTGAATTACGCTAAATTGAATGGTTGGACTAGAATATCTAAAAATGCAAGTTTTTTCCTGTTGTGTTGCTTTGTTTTATGTAACTGAAATGCAATTTTACAGACAACGCCTTTCAGAATGAGTCTGGAAGTGCCAGATAAGAAGCTTTGAGGAGAATTTTTCACTCTCTCGAACTATTTGAGTGCGAGCGTCTCTTTGAGGCTGTGGAAGCTCATTCCCATCCCATTAGGATGAAGAAAGTGAGGAAAAACTATCCTCCAGTTCCTCACATCAAAGGACCCAGACATTTAGGGAAGGGAAGTACATGGAGGGGATGCAGACAGTATCTGAGCTGACCCACTGAGGAGATGTAAGAGATGCCTCCCTTTGACTGGAGACTAATAGTAATCCCATCAAAGAAGCAAAGCCATTCCACCGCTTTGTGTACGGCCTACGTGACAATGATGATCACTCGTGAGATGATAAAAGCTATATAAGGTGAGCAATCTGGGAGGTTCAAGCTAAATTTAACAACCAGGGTGAACATTGATAGTGATGGATGAACACATAAGAGGAAATCCTGTAATAGAAATGAAGTCTACACACACACACACACAGCCAGAGTTTAAATCATTGTCATTGTTCACTGGCCCTCACCTCTGGGCCACGGTAAGGTCTCCCATTGACGATCTCTGGTGAAGCGTAGAGCGGACTGCCGCAGAAGGTTTGCAGCAACTTGTCCTTATGGTAGAGGTTGGACAGCCCAAAATCAGCGATCTGCCAAAACAAAGGTTTTGTCTGATTGTGCTGTAACCACGTGCTTGTTAATCCCTGCACAAAAAGATCATTTGGGGTTTTTGGTCACAGGTCAAAGGCCAGACGTACCTTAATATTACAGTTTTCATCCAGTAGCACATTTTCCAGTTTCAGATCCCTGTGCACCACTCCATTCTGAAGGACAAGGACCGCATTGGTCAATGCATTATTCATAAAAGATGGATCGGAGTCAGTCAACAGTCAACAAGCGATGATTTACTCATACGGAGCTAGTAGCTCCCGGGGGAAATCAAGGGAGGCTGTTGCTTTAGCACTCTTTAATTGGTCTTCCCCCCCTCTGGGGTCTTTGTGCTGACTTCTGCTGCGATTTTCTTTTCAAGTCGACTCACGTAAACATGAGCCTGTAATTACCACCCGGTATGAATGATGTTCTTACAAAATCTAGGGATTAAAAAACAACTACACTGTCAATGTTAATGGCTGGGTGTGAAGAAACAGAATTAACATGCGGTATGCAGACGGAAAGACAGAATCCAGACTCCACTACCACTATCACTGCGCTCTGCAGAGCATCTCCCATTGGCAGGGAGCTCATGTTCACTTGTTCCTGATTGGTGGATACAAAGGAGTAATTGTTTGTTTGCTTGTCGTGTCGGTGACTCACACCACGCCACCCGGGGGGAGGCTGTGCTTGGCGGTGATGAGTCACACTCACGGCTGTCTGGGATCTGACGATGGTGACATCATTCCTATCTCCAGCTGGGAGGAGGATGAACAGGGCGACAAGAGCGAAGCCCATTCGAACCCGCCTTTGTGATTTCGATGGGAGTTAGTGATGTGTGGCCAAAGCTCGGGGGGGAGGCCTCTGGGGAAAAGTTTCGGGGGGTATCTCGGGACATCCATTCGAGTGCCAACAGATGAGGACCGAATGATGCAGGGTCTGTTTGGCTCCCTGTAATCGGAGTGTATGCCTGAATTTAAGTGGCCTGTATTCCTTCTTCATTCCAAAACAGATGACTCTCGTACACCAGGGCCAAGAAAAGCATCGTGTGTAGGGCCTGCAGATAACTAACCGGTTATGGAAGTGCACGGTCGGTGATACAATAAACATGCAGCAGAGAACAGAAAACAAAGTCACCGGATGGGTTTTCTCACCTTGTGGCAGTGGTGCACGGCGGAGACTATCTGTCTGAAGAAGTGTCGCGTCTCCCGCTCGCTCAGGCGCCGCCGCTCGCTGATGTAGTCGTACAGCTCGCCCTTGCTCGCATACTCCATCACTATCACGATCTTGTCCTTGTTCTCGAACACTGAGAAGTGACGGAAACAATCGGAGTCCGTTTATATCAACTGTTAGACGGCAAAACAGGTGCGATGTTCATTTTACAATTGCTGCGTAAAAAGCGGATGGAACCGGTTCTTCCCCCGTTTGGTTTTTGAGCCGACATCTAAATTCCAAAAGAGAACATCACATCTCTGCATTTCTCCCGGGGTTACATCACCCAAACTCCACCTAGTGTGTCTGGCTCCTTCACCACATAGCAAGGAGGGGCTGTTAACTCGATCAAGCCCACTCCTCAGAGACCAGAGCAGTGAAAACAGGGACCCATTGAAGGAGAGAAAGGCTTCCCTCTGCAGATAGCGGGGGCACTACAGTCCAGCTATGCCCTCCGCGCGTCACGCTTCAGCTTCGTGCCTTGTCAATACACTTCACAACACACTCCCACATTCTTAGACCGCCATAGCGTGTGTCCGTATCACATACATTATAGCGCCACGCTTTATTGTGGCAACACGGCGCGACTTTCTTTTCTCACGGCCGGCTTAAAAGAAAAAGAACGAACGCGTTGCTCTATGGTGAGAATGGAGGGAGTTTGAGGGTGTTTTTCTGTGTGTGAATCACAATGAACGCCGGGCTGAATTCATGCAACTCATCTTTGCATCTTAAAGTTAAAGTACAACATAATTGAAATAAATGGGAGCAGCACTTGAGTTAAAATGGTGCCTCGTGGCACCTCTAGTGACCGGAGACAGTAACGTTAATACAGCTGTATTACTGCAATACCTTCCCGTCCCACTGTAGTCACTGAAGGTCATAGCCGTCTGGGGTATAATTTGAACTTGGCAGCGTACGTCCCTCCCGACGCCTTGGCACGAAGGAGGCGAAAAATGGTCAGGCAGGGAGAGGAGGGCGGGGGGAAAGGCCGAGGGAATGCCGAGCAGATGACAAGCACACGGTCGCTCAAGTTGCTCCGTATTGTGCGGCTTGATTTTCCCACACAGCGGGGTCACCAGGGGTGAGGGCCTCTGCTTTCTGCACCCTTGAGTGAGCACCTTCATAGTTTGTCACACTACTCCCTCCCACCCACCTCCCTCCTCCAAATCCCAGGGTTCTTTTAAAGATATAATCCTCTAGAAAAACACACAGTTGCTGAGTGATGGTAATGCTCTGTGATTGTGACTGTCTGGCTGCTTGGGGAGTAACAGACGGCATGTGTAAGCCAATCACCTGGCGGGGGAGTGGGGGGGTATGCGGAGCAGAACCAGCGCCCTCGCTGATGGACAGAGCGGTGACCTGGACTGACATTTGTGGTGATCCGCCTTGGGATCGCGCTCAGAGAGTCGATCCTCCGCTTGCGCTCGCTTTTACCTTTGACCCCTGTTGTTGAGGTAATTACCTGGCTTACATAACTTGGGTCTGTTACAGGCCGCTGGGCGCGCCGGCTGCCTCTGCAGCCTCGCTGTCGCTCGCCAGGCTTTGTTCGCAGGTCGAGCCCTCAGGTCGGACTTATTAGCACCTATAGTCCTGTTGCCCTCACTGATGATAGACGATGATGCAAGCTTGCAAAAGGGGCAAGAAATGTTCTGTTGATGCGCACAATGAATAAATACATTTTTTGATTCAGGTGTTGACATTGACTTAACTTAGCTGAATTTAAACGCCATGACAAAAGATCTTCAGAGTTTAAATGACTATCTGGGCTTATGTTGTCTTTAAGGAATGCAGTATAATTTATGTAATAAATTAAAACCTCACAACGTGTGTCTGTTCCCTTCTCGTCCTTAAAGGTTTCGGAACAGAGGATGTCGCATGTGTACAGACTGTAAAGTCCTCTGAGGCAAGTTTGTAATTTGCGATTTTGGGCTATACAAAATTAAAAAATGAATTAAATTGAAAGGAATAGATATTTTAAGAAATACACTTTGTTGCTTTCCGGCTGAGGGCTCAATGAGGAGATCAAACCACTTGTTTCTGTATGGCTACATGAATTGTTTGGCTTATTAATACAAGAAGAGGAAACAGATAAATATTTTTTTTTGGGGGGGGGGAAATCCATACTAGCCGTGCTATCAAATCAGTGTACATGAGAGTAGTATTGATCGTCTCTCTTAACTAATCAGTCTTAGTTAGTTAGTTAGCTACGACACGCATGGAGGTGTTACCAACATCTTTACTAGCTTGTAGTTGGTGTATCTCTGCATTTACAGGATTCTGTGGTTTTGATCGTTTCTTTTAAATCGTGCGCTTTGGGGCACCGAGCCTGAGGAGCGAATAGCAATGTCTGCTTTTAAATGCTCGGCACGGCATGCTGATGGATGCGGAATGGGAGGGAGCGGTAAAAATCAATCTGCACAAACACATCTGGTTCAGCTTTGCTTCACACACGGCAGTTAGCCGGGGCTGTCCAAGAGGGTGTTGCCGGATACACAGATCGCGGGGCCTCCTATACATCTCCAAAGCAGGGCTGGGTGGAGGCCAGTGGGTTTAAAGAGAAACTGGCCGGGTTTGTTGGTGGAGTGGGCCGCTGATGAAGGAGGGCAGCACACATTTGGAGTTTATCGAAATGAGGTGTTCTAATAATTATTCTAATACAAAACACATACAACTTGTCTGCGGTTCGCCCCTCCAGCTGACTGCTGGCACGTTCCCATGACAAATAGCTATGTTTGTTGCCTATTGGCTTAGCAATAACGACCTGGGGAGTTTGACACCGAACAAAGGACAGTTGGAAAGGCAGTTTGGGCAGTGGCACACAACCGGCCGCCATTGTGCCAGGGCAGCTACCCTGAAAAGGCCATTGAAACCACTGCCTTGTTGACACAGGCATAAAAATAGTCACAAATCACATGAAACCGACTCACGCCAAAGCGCCTTGTGACTGTAATTGCCTGCCCATAGACCCAGACTACATTATCAGAGATGATTAATTGCATGCAATATGGTGAAGGAATTCAATGGGAATTGTTCAACCTTTACACACACCATTAATCCCAATCTATGTTTTCTTCCAGCAGAGTTAAGGTCATTCAAAGGTGCTCATACATAAAGAAGGAGCTGTTTCAGCCTGACTTGAAGGCTTTGATATTAAGAGAGTTGCTTCCTGGGGTAGATATATGCTGATGTTGGCCTTTCCTCCCTCTGCATAGCACTGTCAGACAGGGTGCATGTCTGGGTGACTGAGGTCAACTCTGTATCTGCCTTCAGTGTTACCCCAACCATTATATTGGTAAACCTAGGGACCACGCTGCACATGACACACACACACACACACACACACACAACCACACAGGCCAATGCATAAACAAAATTATTCAAAGACATATGCAAACACATATGTGCAAGCACACACCCACACACATAGAAATGTACAGTCTGGTTCCCAGCTGCAGTTGTCTCTTAAGTGCCAGCAGATGTCTGGCCCTGAGATCAAGACCAGAGAAGACAAGAGATGAGACCTCTTAGATGTGGTAGAGGCAATCCCTTAAAATACCACCACTCTTACACACACATTTTCCACGCATACACGTGCGCACACAGACACACACGCACTCACTCAAGAGGGATCCAGGCGCACGCTGTGAAAGCCATCCAGCCGCTTACTGGCCAAGGCAGCTAGACAGAGCAGATGAGATGAATAACATCCCAGAGCTGTAGTCCAGGTCTTATTATGACATCTGCACATCATAACACGACAATCCTGCAGCTCGGCCACAAGTGCTGAATGAGGTGAGGGAGGGATGGGGGGGGGTTGGAGTGTGTGTCTCTCTTTATGTGCGTTCAAGGCAAACAGGACAGTATGATTGGTCGTGTGTCTCTCGAACCCTCACCTTCATATATAGAGATGATGTGTGGGTGGCGGAGGGATGACATGATCTCAATCTCTCGACGTATGTGAACCATGTCCTGCTCGTCCTTGATCTTCTCCTTGCGAATGGACTTGATAGCAACCTGGACACAGGGGACAGGGGACAGAGGACGATCAGTTGACTGATAGCGTAACAGAGCTCTGGTGCCACACAATTCAGTTTTTGTCCACTTAAACTGATTACATAACTCTATTGGTGTAATTTAGAGCGAAATGAGACTGAAGCCCATTTATATCACATTATCTTATCAGTGCTCTCTACAAATGTACGACTGACACAGAGTACACGCTGCACACCATGTGTGTCTCAGTAAAAACATGTGAGCCAACTCATCTGAAACTACGTACTGTACTGCTGCATATCTTTCCACAACACATTTGCTCAACCTCATTTATCCGCCCCCACTCGGTGGGTGCTGTACGCCCAGCATAATGACCTATGACCCCCGTCTCCAGGCCTCGCTGGTATGGCAGCCAGATGAATCAGACATGGTAGGAGGTGCCATCTTAAACTCACACTCACAAACTGTGTCATTTACTTCAGTATGAAAACAACCGTAGACGGGTTTGCCATAATGGAGGCTTTCTTTGTCCTCTTTGGCGGTCTGGGCTTCAGCCTCTGATCCGGACCCGCTGCCCATCTCTAACGGAGAGATCCGAGGTTGTATTGAAACGTGTGGTTTTCCACACCAACTTTCTTCTCTGAGGGACACAGCTGCGAACAAGTATCATACCAAAGAGATAAGCCAGGCGTTAAATGTTCTGGGTCCCTGCAGGAAGGCTGGAAGGCACGGAGGCCAAGAGGGCACCTCCATAAATCATCAGACGTCAGTATTAACCTACATTGCCGTGTTTCCTCCCCCCTCAAAACGTCCTTGAGAAGACGAGACGTCACCACCCGGCTTCTTATTTTTTTGTCACCCTGATTAACAACAGCTATCGGCCTACTTTTGAAAGAGCCTTCAAATTGGCCAGCTGCAATTTCATGGAGGAATCGAGAGAATGCGCAGGCGTTGAGGAAGTGATTCAGGTCACTTGACTCGCCAGCGTACATTTCAAGTTCAACAGTCGACAACCACACTTGATTTGACGGTTCTTCGCTGTCATGGCGATACTGCCGGTGTAATGCATTCAAACCAAAGGCCTATTTACTCCTTAAATGAGAGGTTAAGGGCCTTTTTCCAACGAAACCAATCGAGAGTACACAGTCTAGCACATGTCACTATAATTGCAGCCTAAACATTCTGGATGGAGTTCTGACTTTGCTTTGATTCGGCCTCTGTAGAGTCTGTTAGCGCTGAATTCTGTTAGTTTAAACTTTTGTCCTCCCCTTAGCGAAGCGGTGGTATTCTGAGGAGCCCAGCTTTATTCCATTCATCAGAAACCACATGCAGTAGTGAGTGCCAAGCTAATTACCGTGTACATCAATAAAAATAACCCCAAACCGGAATGGTTCCCTTCCAGAGCATGCCTTGATTACATAGAATTTAAAGAAATGATACCATAGTAAACAAGACGGGGTCCAGGGGTCCACATGCACTTAATTGAGAAAAGTTGTTTGTGTCTTAACACCGATGTTTATCTTTACCTCATCAGATTCATCAACATTTTATCACTGATTCCCAAAAGGTAAGTAACATTTTTGAGCTTTGTGTTTAACGGTGAGGTCCTTCCTGGATTTAATGTAGGAATTAATTCAGGAATTCACTAATTTCGGCAACAACTGGGAAATGACCTCCTAAAGTAAAGGAAACGTCCTCTGTAAAAACTGCTGCTTAAAAACCCCAACGTGAGTTTTTTCTTTTTTTCCAAAAAAGGATAGTAATCAATCTTTAACAGCTGTGATCTTGGTTCCGCATTGCACGTCAAAGTCCTGGACGGAGCCAGCTCTCCCACATTGGGCTTGAGAGAAAGCCATGCATCTCCTCATGTTCCCCTGGCCCGACCCCGACGTGGATCGTTACACAGGACTTTAGATCAGCCACTTGCCAGCTGGCCGACACAGCTACGCTTGTCCTTAAGTGGATCCCTATTACTGTCAGTCACAGTAAACAGGCGCCGCGCTGCTGCCCACGCCGGCCCCTGCCAGGTAGGGGGGCGGGGCCTCGCCGTCTACAACAGAGCTGTTTGAAGTGAAGGTCCACGCTTCGCTTCAGTAGAGCCTGACATCTTCCTGCGCTTTCTCAGGCCATTAAAATAGATGAAGTATTCATCACAAGCTCACCCTTCTCTGCGTTCTCTAAAGATCACGATCATCCGTTGTGTTCAGAGTATGTGTGTGTGTGTGCGTGTGTGTGTGTGAGTCAGACACTGGAGGGGAGTTGGGGGAGACAGAGAGTGAGTGGGAGGGGGAGGCTCGTCACTTTTCCAGAGAACTATATTTTCAAACACATATAGCAGAGGAGTGTCAGTGACCCCCCTCCCCCCCCCCCACACACACACACACACACGCGGTGCGTACCTCTGCGGTGAATCCATTTTTGGGAAATTTAAACTCGTACTAATATAACTCTCAAACCCTTTTAACTGAGTCTGTCCCTGTCGTGTTATGGTGCTGAGCTTCCATGTGTCTCTGTCCTCCCCCCCCCCCCCTCCGTCCCCTTTTGTCCGTGATGGATCCCCTCATACAGGATATTAACCTTCTCCTTCAATCTCATTTCCTGCAGTGGATCTCCTCCCGTGTGTCACGGACCACCACAGGCCACAACCGTGTTACTACAGCCACCGAGGTGTGTCCTCTTCTCCACAAACGTGACACACGTCTCCCAGAGCGTCGATGACCACTCGGGCCCCCCCCCCAAAGCCCTCACTGGGAAGGCTTGCGCACACGTCCCGCTTCTCCACTATGATCCCTGTGATCGATTGCACTCCTCCGTGCGCTGAGCCGCCGAGCACTACGACATGTGGCGCTGCAGATTAAAGCACGCGGTCACTCACTTCCACTTTCGCTGACGCGGTGAATGAGCCCACGTCTAATCAATCCCTCCCGAGTGGCTTCGGCTCGCTACACACATGCGGATACAAACGGTCACGCAGAGAACGTTCTGCGCGCTTGGTTCTCTTCTCGCCGGTCCCGTCGGGTTCGAGGAACGAACCAGGAAAAGGTAACGGGGTGATTGCATTACCACAGGGGCTGTATCTGGCGCACGGACACCAGGGGCTTGGGTCAGAGGTCAAGTCAACTCGAAGCGGCGCGGGGACAGACGCGCGTGGCCGCTGAGGCGACCGTCACGCTCCGTCTGCTTTTTTGCTGGGGCTCCATGTGCAGAGGTTTGATTCTCACAGGACTGAGATATACACTCCCACGTGAAACGCGGGGAAGGGGGGGGTCCTATGCTTTACTGAGATACCATTTAAAGGCTAAATGCTACGTTTGGGGACCTGCAGCAGATTACAGGGGAGTGGAAGGCATTGACTTTTAGTTATTTATATAGTGGCAGGTGTTTCTATTATATTGCAGTCAGGCTAAGTGACTGAAACAGCTGTCTGTGTGATGCAATGCAGATCAATAGCACCACAAACTACAGCTGCCAAAATAACAATTCAATACCTCTCTTGGCCACTACAACACCCATGAAGGAAGGTTTGTCATCATATTTCCTTTCATATAGAAAATAGTACCAAAACCATGCTGGTACCATAAAGAAGCTGAGAGTGGCTGTCAGGTAAAGTTTAAACTATATATACGCAATAATGTATTTTATCCTCTCGGTCAAATAGCAAATAAACACATTGTGCAAGTTAAATACTTCCCATCAGAGCTGCTGCCATGGCAATAATAAACAGGAAAAAATAGAGAAGAGAGGACGAGGGCCGAAGGGTTTACGGCTCCCTTGTCAAGCAGGAGCCATGAAACCATGGAGGGAACATAGTTGACCTATGGCTTTCTCCCTGGCCTTCTCAGCTCATGGAAAGCACCTCACCTTCTGCCAGAGCGGGCACGGGGGGGGGTCACACGGGGCCACACGGGGGAAATAAACTTGCCTACAAGTATGTTATATAGCAGAAACTGAAAGTGTTGGACCGACTCATGCAAACACACCCTCACAGCAAAATACAAAACCGAAAGGATGTGTCATGAACACTGCACATTGGACCGACTGTGTGTCCCTGGAGGACTGTTCATGATGTTTACTGGACCACTGAGTCGCATCAGTCAGTCAGTAGCCGGGTTTGCACTCAGGCATCCGGTCGTGAGGCCCCCGCGTCGGACATGGCGTGTGCAGCCACAGCTCCGCGGACCCCAGGGCCCTTTTGAGCATAAGGGGAATTCCCAGTGGGGAGGGGGATGGGGGGGGGGGGGCCGGACAAAGTGGGGGGTTTTTGTTTGGATTCCTTTTTATTTGGCGTGCAAAAGCTCCCGGGACGGGGGACAGTTACATAAAAAAAAATTCTCAACCCCCTGCTGAGACTCACCTCTCTGCCGGAGCGGCGCTCGATGGCCTTCTTGACCTTGCCGTAGGTGCCTCTTCCCAGCGTCTCCAGCAGCTCGTAGCGGTGTTTCAAATTGTGCTTGTGGTGGTGTTTCTTCACGCCCGAGCCCCTCCGTCCATCGCCGCTTGCCGGGGTCTCTTCGACCGAGCTGCCGGCAGGGAGGGATGGAGCCGGGGGAGGCGGGGAGAGGTCACCTCTCGCCGGTATTGCCGCTGAGGTTTGGCCCTTCTGGGCCCCCCGGAGGGGCGATAAATAAGCGGTTTCCATCTCACTAGGGAAGTGTTTTAAACAACCTTCCCACTGTTAAATATGTCAAACTACCTAGCTAAAGTAAGATGCTAATGTAATACTTAAAAGGTCTAATAGTAATAATAAATAAATAAATTATAAGGAATAACGTGTAGCCTACTATTACATGTGGAAAGTGACATTTCCAGATTGTCTCGCTTGATCGATTGGCTTTGATCAAAGTGAACAGGAATGTTCTTCCTCCTACCTGTTCATGGTATTATCCTACTTAGTCTACTAAATGAATCATCCACTCTAAACTAACATCATTGGTACATAATTAGCCGATACATAGTCCTGTATCACAGGATAACAATTAATTATAGTGCTAATATGTAATAAAATATGTCTTCAGATTTCGACAGTGGGCAACATGCCGGAATCTGACAACACGTTGGATTCAAATATGAAATAATATATTTATATATATATATGTATATTGGCTATAATGGTTGTGAAAGCTCTCTCCCAATGAATCAATTGGTGTGATCTAGCTGTGTGTAACTCCTGCCTCGTTCACCTCGTCTGTGGTCCTAAACGCTGCCGACATCACCGACTCACATCGGAAAGGCGAGAAAGCTGCGACGAAACCGGCGTTTTGGATGAAGATGACCCTCATGTTGCCCCACGGCGCGGGTACGGCTCCTCATTCATCGGGGCTCTGTCTGTTGTGCGGCTGCGTGCTCCGTGCGGTAGTCGGCGGCGGTAGAGGTGCGCAGGGATCGGACACTATCTCGGGCTGAGACGCTTTGGGGATCGCCATGGTCGCTCCGCTGCGCCCCTGCCGCTGCTGCTGCTTCGTGTTTGGTCTTCGTGTGGCTTTCTTCTCGTTTCTCCCCCTTTTCTCTCTCTCTGTCCTCAACGTGAGAAGCTGTGAATAAGACTTGCGGGAGGATCCGAGACCGGGGGCGGGGTTTTACGCAGACCTCCTCCTCCTCCTCCTCCTTCCCTCTTTGTGCGCTGGTCCCATCTTCTTTGACATGACGTGTATCATGTGTCTTCACTGTATTTTACCCGTAGTCATTCCTCTTTATTAATCTCTAATTAACACAGATCCATTGATCAAATCAAATGGAATGATTTATAGCTATTTCTTTTTTACAGGCAACCTCCAAGAGACACATTCCCATCCGCACAAGGAATAGTTTCACTCATTTCCTGCTTTGTTTCTGAGAGCAGGAGGCGACCTTCATAGTCCGCTATGCCGTAGTGGAAGTGCGCTGAATGTGCGTTATTTCTAATGGCCAGTAGGGGCGCGACTCTTTGACTGTTCTCCATTGCCTTCATAGACAATGTAAATATGAGGGCATGGCCTCAATAGATGTATTTACAGCTCCGGTACAGCATTAAGTAAAGAAAGAAATTCAACAAATTGTCTATTTTTTGGTGTGTTTTGTTTTTTCTTCAGTTCAAATCAGGATCTTCCGTTTGAATTGTGAAAGGTTTCGGCATTTACTGGATTGTAACTGGCTGAACTTCAGAAAACAAAAATCTGCTTCGTGTCCCAAACAACAGCTGCTGCATAACGCTTCAAAAACTGTTTGCCTGCAGTTTTGTCAATTTGATCGGAGGAAAACTCAAAGCACTGTGAAACAAAATGATAAATGATCTGAGATACTCTTAGGTATGTAATGTTACACTAAACTGTTCTTCTCAATATAATAACTAACAGACCATCATATGTTGGCTCTGAGGGCCTTTGTAATGGTCTTACACTTCCCCTGAGTTTTATACACAGTCATCGTGCCAAATGAATTCCTATTTGCATCTGGTTTCCATACTGAGAGCGAAAGGAGACGGATCTCAGAAGAGATTATCTAATTAATCCCATTTTGAGTTTTTTTTTTCACTCAGCAGCCCACTGTAAACACACAATCAGTTTGTTACCTGAACAAACAAAATGTCTTTAACTAGAGACAAATCTCTGGTTTAATAACTGGCGATTCACGTTCGCCCAAGATGAAGATGTATTCTGTGTACTGTGGTACTTATTTAACCTTTCGCTACCTTTGGGGACATTTCAGATTTTAAGGCAGGTGAAAATATATTATTCTGAGTAATATGATTTGTTTGTTGGATTTCAATATCCTGTAATAAATTGGACTAATGTGATTTACTTTGGGCAAAACAGAAACATGAAAATCTAGTTTATTGTCAGTATTATTTAATTTTAAATGACTGTAAATATTTCATGTATATCCTTTCATTCTTCCTATAATCAACAGGCACCTTCTTACTTTCAAGCTCTTGTATTCCAGCTCTTATTACAGAGGGGGAGTCGAGGCTCGAGTCTCTCCCTTTCTGATTAAGGACGGAGTGGGTTTTCCCCTCCGGTCCGGAGGATGGCTCGTATACCGTTTGTTGTCATTAAACAGGGTAAGCAGAGTGTCCACTTATAGCAACACATGACTCTGGGATTAGTGTGTGATCTGATTCCTGCCTCGGCCTCGTTTGCACCCGGCAGCAGACTCCAGGGTCGCCGCTGCCCTCTTGTGTTGGATGCAGAGTCACATCAACGAGGAGGAGAAGAAGAAGAAGAAGGTGCTCATGAAACTAGTGTATTTGATTCTAGGCAGCAACCGTGGAAACAGGTCAAATGTTAATGTGCTGACACTTGCCACAGTGACTTTTTTTTTTAAATCATGGAAAGGATTTAAATTGGTTTCTCTCTATGCTAAACAATTACGGGACTCTAACGCTATGTTATTGTGTTGGGTTAATATCGTTTTGTAGAGTTGAAATCGATATGAAGGGTTTAATCACTTTCAACTAGATTTAGTTAAGTTAGTTGAACTTCATTTAATTGAGTTCAAATTAAATACATTTAACAAATGAATTCACATTAACTTAACTCAATAGAATTGAGTTGGGCGAACATAACTTCTAAAAGAAAGCCATTGAATCAAATGGAAATCCTTTCCATGTTTTATTAAGTTAAGTCAAAGAATAAATATTAAGTGCAAAAAATGACAATAACACAAATAAAGAAACCTTGTATTATGTGGTTGAGGCAAATTTATTCACAGGTCATTCAAGCTGACACTTTTATCCAAAGCGACTTACATTTACATTACATGTCATTAAAGTTGATGCATTTGCATTACATTAAATTAGATGGTTTACATGTTCAAGGTATGGTGAGCAGTTAGGGGTTGGGTGTCTTTCTCAAGTACACTTCCCAGCGCACCCTCTCTACTCCATCCGCCACGGTCACCTGTTATGTATCCCCCAAAACATTACAATGAACACCACAGGTGTTAAAACATGAACGGACTAACATTCCATCACAGTATTGAATATTTCATTTGCATAAGATGAGGATGCAGATATTTCGTTTACCTTTCTGTGTGACGAACACTCATAAAAATGCACTTGACTTTAGGAATTTCGTCTTCTCTCCGTATCTAAATGGGGCTTGTTCTCTGGATGATTACCGGGATGTCGTGCAGAAATGCAAATGCAGAGTGCACCTCCTCATCCCCTCAGCCAAACAAAACCAACACAAACATTAAAACAAGAATGTGATGAGCGGAGACCGACTAAAGTAAATGTAACAACCAGCCAATATCATTTTTTTGAGTGCACAGGCGCACCATTTTAAAGCACCTACATAAAAATGCTTTTGGGGAACAGCTGTAAATCATCCAAACTGCTCTGCCATACAGACCGTATCAGTGTTTTTGCATGTTCTACTACTTTCTTTGCAAGCCCGTTACAATCAGACTTGACAGGCTTGACAGCTGAGCGTTTTCCAAAGCATACCATTAAAAAAAATAAAACCTTGGATTTTTAAAACCAATTTTATGTCAGAGTAAAAACTGCTTGCAGACATTTGAAAGATGTATATATATATATATATATATATATATATATATATGCATATTTTATTACATAAAATTGTAAAATAATGATGTTAGGTAATAACTTCTTGTAAAATTATCAAAAAGCTCCAGAACAGCTCATAAATGGACCTTGACTTCATCAGCTGCTTGTTGCAAGATCAAGAGAAACCCTTAAATCAACATTTCTAACTCAACATCTGCTCAGAAAAACTTAAATCTGGATTTCTGTGAAGATTGGCTGAAGTCCAACCGGTGAAGAAGACTGTGAGATTTAATCAGGAGGGAGAGAGAATAGCTTCCTAATGGACACAAATAATAATAAATATTTAACAGCATTTAACATGCTCATGGGTTATGAAATGATCATTACCATAATGACCATCAGACATATGCCTTCTGTATTATTGATATCAACTTTGAAATTGTACAAACAAGAAACAAGAATTTCTCATGTTTAATTTATCATTCACTCTTGAATGTCATTTTTAAACATGAATCAATGCGTGCGTATTGATTTTAAGATTCTATTGGCACAAGCGTCGTTGTGTAATGTCTCAATATGTTGAATATATTCAGTTAATAAAAACATCTTTTGGAAGAACACAATTTGGAAGACCGTTGGGACATAAAGTTTGTGATTTAACATCTTTATACGTCTGTCAAAAGAAGTTTCAGAATAGATTATGTAAAAAAGCTCTAAAAATTAGAGTGAAGCTGCAGGATCAAACATATATAAAGTGTATGTAGCGGTGCGGAGGTGCCACCCTTTTGGCAATTAACACCAGGTGGCTGCAATTAGGTGGGCCGGTTTAAAGGTGGCACGCCTCCGCCTCTCTTCTGTGAGGTGCGTCATTTCCGGGCGACTAGACGCGTGCGGCTCCCGTGGCGTATTTGCTTGGTGAGTGTCCCTCTCAACTTGCCGTTGTGGATGCTGTCTGATGGCTAACCCCAGTGTGGTCACAGGTAAATGCCAGCGACAGCCAGTGTCCTCTCCCTCCCTCCTCCTGTGTGTAAGCGTGTGTCCTAGAACAGGTGTGTGTGTGCTTATGTATACGCGAGCAACCAGTTTTACTCTGAACCACTAACTGCACTTTTTCTGTAAGTAGGAGTTGTGTCGATCAGCAGGAGGGGGTCGCTGCTGTTTTGTCTCTCGTGAAGTTTGTGTCTCCGCTGAAGCTCCACCTCCAGGGAAGCTTCGTCTCCGCGGCGTTCTCCTGACCGCCTTCTGTCCCCCACAGGAAGCGTTGTCCTACCACACTGCGCTGTGCAGGGCTCCCTGCAGCTTGGCGTGCCGAATATCGGTCGCCACGCCTGGCAGCCCCGCTTCATACCGGGCGCCTGATCCGTTCCTTTTTAAAATCTTGTCACGTCTGTGTTTTAACCAGGGCTGTGTCCCTTTTGTATTGTTGGCTGGATGTTATTTTATTGTAATTTTGTCAATTGTTTTTGTCTTTTTTCTTTAGTTGCTGGTGGCCGGGTGGTGGCGTCCTACCCCTTTGTTTGCGGTGTCCTGGGAAGCGGGTTCCTCACTACGTCGGGCGGTTTTGAGTTTTCTTGATTTGGTGGGTTCCCCCCACCCTTTCTAGCGTTGTCCGCCCATCCAGCTCCAGCCCTCTAATTGGTTTATTGCTTTTCTTGATTTGAATCTGTTGCACTGATTTTAAATGTATTTAAAATAAAGCTGTTCTTCTCTAAAACCGTGAACTGCGTCTCCTGCCTAAAACGAGTAAATTTACCTGTGGGCCTTGTACAATCCAGATTATTTCTTGGGGTGAAATTCCCAGAGTGGCGTTGTTGGTTTTCCTTTAGTTTCATTCCCCCTTTTCACCCTATCCTCGCCACATGTATATGTTCTGTCATGTACTGTTTTTATTTTTTTATTTTTTATCAACCCTGCACTACAATATCCATTAATCCATGGACCGTCAGAATCCGGCAAAAAACCACCTCATATTTGATAACCCTGGTAGGAACATGTGAAATGAGAACCTTTTGAAATATGGTTCTAAGATGGTGACGGGATCAAACTTTGCAACAACACTACCATATTTAAAGGTTCTATCTGGCCAAGAATAAGCTTGATCGCACACTGAAATAATGCTGAGTGGCATTAAACCGCATCTATAAAAAGGAGAGCATAATAACAGGGAGGATAAACTGGCGGATAGCAGGTGTCAATGAAATGTCTGTCTGCAGCGGCTGTTACTAAAAATAAATGTTTTCCATCCAGATGTAAAATCTCTAACGTGTTCCACAATCTGCCAGAAAAGAATCCATCTGCACCATCAGGAGAGGTGAATCAGACAGGGTAAACCGATGAGTCTAGTCTCATGCATGCTCATTAGCTGGAAAGCTTGCAATGAATTCTTCATACTGCATCGCATTCTTTAATTACGGCTTTAGAGAAGAACACCGGTAACACACCGTAATTGTCACAGCCGGTTCTCCAAAAAGCAAAAAGGCGTCTCGAAATGTCAAACTATTTAAGCTAACACGAGCTGTTTTAAGGCATGATTACAAATACAGGAATTATAGTGCCTCTGTAAACATTGTGTAGTTCTGGTGTGTCAAACAGAACAACCCGGAGCTCCGGTTCTGCGCCAAACCGGCCGCAACTGTTATTTGTATCTTTGTCACAACAACCCCGGTGTGGACACTTCCTGTCCTTCCATCTGCCCCTTCACAACAAAAGCCCCCACACCGGAACACCTGTGCAATAGCTTACAACGTTCAGCCATTCGAGTAAGAAAAGACAAAGAAAGAAAAAAAACAGCAGACTATTCTGAAACTTTTCCCTCAAACATTTTTCCGTCACAGGTTGGTCCGTAGACTCGTATATAAGCAGTTCACGCCGCTCGTTCCCGACACGTGCTTAACATTCGGGCGTAACCGAAAAGGTCACCACCCCTACACGTGAAATGGTTTCACACTGTGTCGCTAATGTTCGCGTCGAGAACAGAAAGGTCACTTAGAACTCGCCTCACGCTGTCATTTGTTCGCACGCCTTAATTGGTTTGGTTTTACTGAAGTTACCCCAGCTTCCACTTGGCAGACATGCTTACGGCCGTGCGGTGCGTGCTGTCTAAGCTGGTTTCTCCCTTGTGGAGGACCGTGGAGGTGGACGAAGAAGGCCTTTTCTCCGCCGCGGCAGGTAAACGCTCCCACAAAGAACGCCGCCGGTGCGATAAACCGCCGCCACCCCGAGCACTCGCATTAAATCCCGTGTCATTTGTTTGGTCCCACGCTTCGTTTGCTCGTTCAGGCACGAAGAACGTCCGCACCCTGCGGGACGGTGTGGTGACGCAGCTGTGCCTCGACTACGGCATGATCGACCACGCAGTCTGCTTCACCCGCGGGGAGGTGCTGTGCGGGTCGCCGCTGAAGGAAGGGGACCTGGTGAACTGCATAGCCGTGCAACATGGAGCCCACGGCGGGTGGAACGCTTTAAGGGTGAGCGTCCGTTGAGATCATAACGTTTTGATGTATCTGTTATCCGTGTGTAAATGAAGCTGTGTGTTTGGATAGAACATGCCACATGTATTGGCTTTAGCAAACATGCAAGGTGAGTTGAGCCCGTGCTTGATTGTTGGCCCCTGTACCTGCAGTAAGTCAGCCGGGAGAATGGGGCCATCTTGGTGGCAGTTGTGTCCGATGTGCAGCATTTAAATGTGGCATTCAGGTGGAGAAGATTGCAGATGCTTGGGAGGACGGTGACAGGACCTCGGTAGAAGCTGACAGCTTGCAGCTGCGGCCTCTCATTGGCACGGTCACGTCCTTTGACGGAGACGGCGGCTACATAAACCAGACCACGTACTTCCCACGCTGCAGTCTTCGGCAAGGTACCGATCCTCAATGTACTGCATGCAACTGGTGAGCTCGTCGACCCTTCTAATGATTTGCATCGGGTTGTTGTTGCAGTCTGTTGTCTACAGCCACTGTGGCCATTCAGTCCCAACTGACTTCTAAGCTACATATATTTATTTTTAATTTAAAATGTATGTTTGTCTCGTCGACTGTGTGGGAGCGCTAGAAAAAGTCCCAGCCACACAGACATTTACCAGCATTTGACTGATTGCTGATTTTAAATTTCTTCCATTGTCAGGTTATGAACCAATGAAAGGAGACTGGGTCCAAGCAAAATATTGTATCAATCCTACCCAGTGGACCACCCAGGTTCGTTCCGTGGAGCCTTTACGGTACCAGCGCAGAAATCGGGTAATCTCATTGCTTTACACACTCATTTGTAAAAAAGTCTTCCTTACTTACTTACTGTACTTCCAATGACTCTTAAGTGCTACAGTTTGTTAGTCTTTTAGTCGAGGTAGAGCCTGAAGACGCGTGTCTTTAGTTTGCGGCGGACGATGTAACGGCTCTCTGCGGCGATCCGCTGTCTCCAGGTGCATGTGACCAGTCTCTATGGTAGAAATGGAGTGGTGGAGGACAGCGTGTTCTTCAGCCTCGACTCTCTGCTGCTGCCTGCCCACTACAAGCCTTTACCGGGGCACCTGGTCAACGTCGTCATGGTGGAGAGCAGTCAGTCCCTGTGCTGTTGGAGGGCCCTGTGCATGGCCCCCTGCCTTCAGAGGTATTGGACTTTCTTCTGTTTTTGTAGGGCTCCAACTTATGATTATTTTAAATGTCATCGAGTAGTTTACAAATTGCAGCAGTTTGATGTGTTTTTTTTTGTAATTCCCTTTGCAGTGGGAATGTTTCTGCCGCACAGTTTCCAGAGGGGGAACTTAAGGACATTTTGGAAAACAAAGGGGGGCTGGATGTAACAGACTATGGCCAGTTTGTGGATCTGATGATTGGGGACCAACAAGAGCTGGTGCTCTGGATACAGTGAGTGACCAAGAAGAAATCCAATATTCACATCCAGAGGAAAACTGAACGCACGTGCTAGTTACCGAATTTGTATTCTTTGAATTTGTTACTTTTCAACCACCGTAAAAATTCTTGTCACATGTGTTTAGTTACAAATATCTGACCAAGAGAGAAAATATGTCTTTCCACCATCATCTCAGTACAATGTATTGTATCATTTATGATATTGTATAATTTTGATATTTTTCTCCTAACAGAAATAAAGGTTCAGAGACTCACAGGCTGAAGTACTGTGACTTTTCTGGCTGGGACTCAGAGGAACAGTTCACTCTGGTCACTGTGAAAAACTCCCCACAGGGACCGAAGGAACAACCTTTGCACAAATCTTACTCAAAGTCGGAAAAGTGCTCCGACTCTTCAGAAAAACAAGTCGCTGATGCAAAAGAGGTAGACAAAGAAAATGGTGAGGGGCCGAAGGAGACCATCCATATCCCAGGTGTAAGGAGACAGGAGAGAGGTGTGGATATTTCCCCAGGAGAGAGGTTGCCTATTGTTGTGGCCTGCAAAGCAAAGTAAGATCTCTAGTAAACTCTCGTAGTGGCGTCAGCATTAATACCAGAGGCAGTCTGAGGAGAAATGAATCTAAAAGATGAATGCAGATATATAAATGTGTCCAGTCATGCTGTCTTGCCGTATCTATTTATTCAAATGTCAAAGCTCTTTTTGGAGCTCCTTTCTCTTTGCACAACTAAATTCCACGTGGCAAATCGCTCAGGATCCTGGGAAGCTGTGCTGAGCTGCTGTTGCTGCACTTCTCCTCTTTCACCATCGGGAGGCGCCTCGAGGTCACAGTGGGCAGCAAAGAGGAGAACCTGCTGCTGCCCTCGGTGACCTACAGCTCCAGAGATGTACGTCTGGTCTCAACGGTGCCGTCCAACGTGGTCACCGTCTCCGCTCCAAAATGCGCTCAAAGGTATCTGCAGAGCCGAGTCCACTGCCACCTCACAGCCACTCTTTGGCACTCTCGTGCGTGCGTGCACTCAATTCGTAATGGGTAGATTGAAGATGATGTTTTTGCTGGAAGGGCGCTTCCAAGGAAATTGCAAAACGTAATTATTTATGTCCCTTCTTTTATTAAATATCGACTGTCTCACCTGTAGACCAACCAGGCGGCGGCTGCCAAACTTCCTTTCGAACTATCCACTGCCCACGGCTCTCAGAGACTGTGTGGAGGCAGAGAACGACGTGCTGGCAGTCCAGCCCTGCCTCGGAGAGGTGAGCATGCCCATGATGAAGTTCAGGTGATAGAGATGCGTCTAGATAGATAGATAGATACTTTATTGATCCCTCAAGAGGGAAATGTTGGTATCACAGCAGCATGTACAGGGAAGAAAATAGAATAAAAAGATACACATTATATACAATATAATAAGAGAAATATTAAATTCAATAAAATAAACTGAAACAAAAGATTAACCTTCCAAAAGTAATAATTATTTGTAAAAGGGGAAGAGGAAAGAGCAGCAACATACTAAATAAGAGTCAGGCTTCTGGCACAATAGGTATTGGCTAATGATGCGTTTAAGCACTTTGTATGTGTAATGTTTTTAGGAATATTTGCTTCCTGAATCTGCCTCGTAACAAAGCAGGGTGAAGGATGTAGTGACTGACCATGCGGTATTGAGAGTAGGGTTGTCACGATACCAAAATTATGACTTCGATACTATACCTGCCAAAATATTACGGTACCCGATACTTACGATACCACAAATAGGATAATGGAATATATTTATCTATGATAGTAATAAATAAAACATCTGTAAGGTTCCTTTTTTTACCTGGTATCTGTTTGACTGTCTGTGGGATTAACAATGCTTTATTTACTTGCATAGTTTGATTTTCTCACATTCATATTTCCTTAACTAAAAATAAAAAGGATTAGGTGAAGATCCACCCTCAGGCTCCACCAGCATGTAGCCTATTGCATCAAGTGTGTATTTGGTACAATTTTGTGTGCATTCTGATCATATCGGCCCACATGAGTGAAATTGTAGGTTGTTTTGCATGTATATATTTCTGCTGGACTATTCAGGAACTTATTTGCGGTCTTGCTTTGTCTTGTGTTGTGCCAACTCTCACGGTTTCCCCGTGTGACACGCGTGTTTCCATGTTTTCACACGCACTCACGCCACACATCCAATTTATTACGCAAAAAAAAAAACAATCTGCGCTGGTTCATCTAAACGGCGCATCTATAACCCGATTCTCTGCACGTAGCGTAACTTCCACCCCGTCAGCCGTAGCTTCACCCCCAACGTCTCACTCCAAGTTTAGTGAAAAGTGTCCCTATAACATTACAAAGAAGCCGACTCGAGAGCACTTCATACTAGCATCAATATGCTAGCGTTTTATAACAAGCTTGCTAACGAGATGTCTGCTAGCGGCTAAACTTACTTTGTTTATGACAAACTAGCAAGTCAACAATTTTCCAAACACAGTTCAACATCAAGCAAGTGCAACACAAGACAAAGCGGACGTCCTCTTATACCCGGAGATTTCCTCTTTTCCAGACCTAAAAAATGCGTCCGGGTGTGGTCACCCGAGCTAAGCTAGGCTAAGGCTAAAGGTGTTAGGCTGTATATGGGTGAGCAGTCTGCTACATGAGGGCGCGTCTCCCCTGATAACTCGCACGTGTGTGAGAGCTGCGCAGTCGATGTGTGCAGGCAGCCTGACACTGAGCGGAACAGTCAGTGCGCTCCAATTACATGCTTTTTTTTAATTTTATTTTTAAAAGTACCGGTAATAAAAATATTCAAAACTGTATTGTTTTCAACGTATGGGTACCGCGATACCTTTTCTAGTACCGGTACACCGTGCAACACTAATTGAGAGGATGGTTCTGAGGCTGTTTTTGGTTTGTTTGGTCAGGTGCTATCGGCATCCAACATGCGTCAGCGTTTCTCGGTGCTTCTCTGGCTGGAGGAGCTGCATGCAGAGAAGGAAATGAGAGAATTCACCATCATCGGGGCCCTCCTCGGGAAAGGGGGGACCTACCTGCACCTAGAGGTCCTTGGGTTGGCCGAAGGGCGACCAAGTCTCTGCATCGGTAGGAGGCCTTACTTGACTTTCTTTACCGTGGTAGAATTACTGCTGCGGTTCGTGTTCTGATTCTGCTGAGCAGCATCGGTTTTGACACGTTTTCTCTGCAGGTGACCAAATAATATTAAAGAAACCGCAGACTGGCGGCAGGGTAGTGGAGTACGTTGGTTATGTTGCAGAGGTACGGAGGTATTTTATACTCTGACAATGCAGAACATTCAAAGAAGCCTTCAAACTAATATGTATACATAAGATTAACATTCTACCTCTTGTTTTTTTTTCTCTCTCAGATCAATGATGAAAATGTGAGTTTGAGAGTGCACTCAGATTTTCAGCGCAGCTACCTCGGAGAGCCGCTTGACGTTGAGTTCCCGTATAACAGGTGAGGAAAAAAGAGTTTATGATTTCATGAATGGAATGCAGTCGTATTTCATTCATAAATATAAAGTATTTCATAAAGTTTTAATGTGACTGCTCATCACCAGATTGACAATGAGACGTTGTCACAACGCACTTGAACACACAAAACATTTCTCGGAGAGTAAGTTGTTTTTATTTAAATTGCTCAAAGTCTTGGACTGTTTTTGATAGCAAGTGTTATGTTGAGATGGATGAAATATTTATCTCATGTAAAAAGCAATTGAATAAAAAAAAAAATCTTATTCTTCCTCTTCACTGTACAAATCGTATGAAATATAAGGAATTTAAATATTAAAATCTGTGTACATTTGGATAAATATGTTGTGGTAAAACTCTAAAAAAGGCGTTAACATGCAAATCACCCAATGTGGTGCGAATCAAAGCATTTTACTTGACTCTTGATATTTTATTTTTTTTAATAGATTTAAACATTTTCACATTGTTGTGCAGTTCTCTTCCCCTGCAGAGTGACTGTTAAGACCTCCCAATGGACAGCAAAGTGGATAGACGAGCCAGACCCGGACAATGAGGTGAAGGACAGACTTGTTCAGATGTGTTGTCATTTATTTTCCACACTTTTAAGTAATTATATTTTGGACAAACACAGGTCCCACCCATTCCAAATGGAAAAGATTCAAGCCTTTCCGGTGACGTGATGTCAAAGGCCACACAAACCAAGGGTAAATGATTGGGTTTCTTATTTGGTAAAAACTTTGACCTGTTCATACTGGATAACATTGAGAACTTTGCTGCCACCCGTGTACTCTTTTCTAGATGGTAGTGTCCCATCTAAACCCGTCCCCAGCATGGGGCACTTCTTCAACCCGGTCCTGAACCCCCCTCAGAGAGAGGCGGTGAAGAGGATCCTGGCCGGGGAGTGTCGGCCCCTTCCGTATGTGCTGTTTGGACCTCCGGGCACCGGAAAGACCATCACGCTCATAGAGGCCATACTGCAGGTACTGAGGGCAGAATCTGCGTCATCATTTTGTCACGTGCCGCTCAAGATGACGCCGCGTCGGGTCCTTTTGTTTGTTTCACTTCCAGGTTTACCACTTTCTGCCCAGCAGTCGCGTACTTGTCTGTACGCCTTCCAACAGTGCTGCTGACCTCATCTGCATCCGCCTCCATGGCAGTGGTTTCCTGCATGCTGCGAGTTTGGCCCGTGTCAACGCCTCCCGCAGGCAGGAAGAGGTACTTCTCTGTGCAGACACCTCATTTAAAGGGTCCATGATCAAAGGGACCATACGCAGATCTCACTAGTGCCCTTTGATTAATTGAGTGAAAACGGGCTCCTGTCTGTTTTTACCTTTTTTAATAGTACATTGCTTTATCACAATGTTATTTCAATTTTCTTTTTCTTCTTTTAGTCCATCCCTGAAGTGCTAAGACAGTATTCCAAGGCAGGAGAGGACATCCGCCATGCCTCTTTTCACAGGATTGTGGTCAGCACCTGCTCCAGTGCCGGCATGTTCCATAATATAGGACTACAGTAAGGCCTGGGCTGCCTACGGATCGTTGTACACCCCGTCTTCCTTCTTAGTATCTCAGGTTATTAACTGTGGATTCTTTTCCTCAGAGTGGGACATTTTTCCCACGTGTTCCTGGATGAAGCCGGCCAAGCCACAGAGCCAGAGTCCTTGATCCCCATGAGTTTTCTATCAGAGATAGATGGACAGGTCTGGGGGAGAAAAAGAAAAATATGTATTTTTTTTTTTTAGCATAATTTGGTTGAAAATGAACTTAATTGGTTGGTGAAAACCTGGGTGAGCCTCTTTGATGGTGACTTTTCTTCCCTGGCCTGCTCAGATCGTGTTGGCTGGGGACCCCTGTCAGTTGGGTCCAATAATAAAGTCCAAGCTGGCCGCTGCCTACGGCCTCGGAGTGTCGATGCTGGAGAGGCTGATGGCCAACCCGCTGTTCGCCAGACATGACTGGGGATACAACCCCATGCTGGTTGGTGCACTGCAAGCATTTTGTATTTGTTTTAGCAAATTGAGGAGGTTCTTTTGATAGCAGGTTTCTCATTTACATGAATATGATATAAATAGTTCATTTGTTAACCAGCTGTTGTGCTACATTGCCTGTCTTTATATATTTAGTGCCATTGTTGATGCCAGTGTATCAAGATGAAAATGGAACTGTGTACATAAAAATAAATACAACTTTTTCTTTCACAGGTTACTAAGCTGATCTACAATTACCGTTCTCACAAGGCCTTAATCACGCTGCCCTCTAAGCTCTTCTACAAAGACGAACTGTGTTTCAAAGCACCAAAGGCCGAAGTAGAGACTCTCTGCAAGTGGAAAACCTTGCCCAAAAAAGGCTTCCCACTCCTCTTCCACGGAGTCAGGGTGAGGAGATCTACGAGGAGTCACTGACAAATTCCGCTCCCGCGTCTGATCTGGATGTTGCTGTTCCCCTAGGGCACAGAAATGAGGGAAGGTAACAACCCATCGTGGTTCAACCCAGTGGAGGCTGTACAGGTCATGATCTACTGCTGCCAGCTGGCCAAGAAGCTCTACAAACCGGTGGCTGCCTCTGACATCGGCATCATCGCCCCCTACAAGAAACAAGTACGACTGCACGCTTCATTCCACACAATGCGTGTCCTGAATCATGGATGTCATCCCTCTCATCTTAGTTTATGTGTCATTTCATATAACTTAGGGACAGTATATTGTAACCCAGCCGTATCCTCGTTTCTTTGTTATCCTCCAGTGTGAGAAGATCCGAGTGCTGCTGGGTAAGGTGGGCCTGTCTGACGTCAAAGTGGGCTCCGTGGAGGAGTTCCAAGGACAAGAGTTCCTCGTCATCATCATGTCTACAGTAGGATTAAATAATGGCTGTTCCTAGCATCAGACGAGGGCTCTTTGCTAAATGTCTTCGCTCCGTCCAGACGACTCGATGTAGAGGTGATGGATTTTGCAGGCTGTGTCACTATTAATAGTGTGACATCAGGGTTGTTTCAAGTCATCCACCCTGCTTTTACAGTTGTTGGCGCCACCTTGTGGTCGGTCGGTGCGGTGGTCTTAGAGTGAGACGTTCAGCCAACTATTGCCATGTAGGTGTTGCAGTTTATAAAGAACCCGATCATTGTACTTTGGATTGATATTAGTAAAACATTCAATCGGGTTTCAAATAAAACAAAAAATGTTATCCATTTGTTTCTAAATTTAGCTGGAATTCAACCGACGCAAAAAAAGCGCCTTGCGGTTTAATATTCACTTGTCTGATGACCGACGAGGCTCCGATGACTTCTATTCGTTGTCCTTGTACAAACAAAATGATATTCAAGCTAAACGTTCAATCTAATGTTACGGTTCAGATCTAAATAATGTCTCCATGAGAAATCAATTAAAAAAAAGAAAAAAAAAAAAAAAGCATTCCTTTTGTATAAATATGTACGTGAGGGGTCGTAGTTAACTTCTAAGCTTTTGGTAGAACTGGTTTGCATCGTGGTATATTCTCTTCTTGGTGGACTGCACCACACCTAAGACATTTGCCTCGTGGAACTCTGATGTTTAAAAGTAATTATCTCTCCAATCTGCACCCCGCTTTGCATTTCTGGTGGAGTGGCACGTCTGCCCCATTGATGGGCCGGAGTGAATATTCCACCTTTAAGCCCAACTTTGTTTAGCAGCCTGTTCATCTTCACCCCCCAAAAGTCTCATCGAACTGGAGCAAACATATTTAGGTTGAGTGATGGATGGTGGACTATTGCAATAATAATCATTTGGATGATGTTGGAAGGTGTCCTCCATTTAAGAATAAATGCATCTCGTTAACTTCATTTCTTCATGATAGGTGCGCTCTAATGAATCGGTGCAGAGTGACAATTTACAGAGTGTGCTCGGCTTTCTGGCCAACCCCAAACGCTTCAACGTGGCCATCACTCGCCCCAAAGCCCTGCTCCTGATTGTTGGAAACCCCCACATCCTCATCCGGGTGAGTGACGAAACCCTTTCTGTCCATGCTTTTTACTATCGTTTATTAGAATTGTTTACTTCACATCCTTTTTTGTTTCTTTTCCAGGATCTCTGCTTCAGGGCTCTCCTGCACTACTGTTTCATCAACGGGGCGTATCTGGGCTGTGACCCCCCTCCCTCCCTACGAGACTCTGAGATGTACGTCAACTGGTCATCCATATTCATGAAGGATATTTACACTCACCAGCTGCTTTATTTAGTTATAGAATGAAATGTAATCTGATACAACAGTTGTACTTTTAACTTTCCTTTTAACATCTGGTTCTCTAGTAGAGACCTGCTTAAGCCAACTGATCGTGTTTGGAAACATCATGAATCAATTAGAACGGTATTACTGCCATGTAAACGTGAAATGTCATATTTGGTTGGTCATTTCAATGTAAAGTAGAAGCAATTTCCAATTTAATAAACATAAAGGCCCGGGGGAACATTCCCAGTCGTGCTTTAATCCCCTTTTCTTTTTACTCCCACAGTGTTGCAGAACCGTGAGGGGCTGCATAAGACGTTGTGATCCTGAATGCACTCTGTCAACCTGTCTTAACCCCCCCCCCCCCGACACCGTCTAATCACAGGTTATCTCTGTTTAATGTATGCATATAAAGGTTTCTTTGTCAGGGTTTGGAAAGGAACATTATATTTTCGGCATGCGGCGAGGAAAAAATAAA